AGCTGGGCCGGAGCTTGTCGGATGCTTTGTTGGTTGTCGTTCGTCTCGGCGAGTTGGTTTCAGACGCGGAAGCCGTCATATGAGGCCGGTCGAAAGCGCGTTCAGAGTTCAGCGTGGTGTTTGACGTAGGTATAACGTGAAAATACGGAGAAACGGTGTGCATTTCGCTGGTGACCGACCTGGCCACGGAAGAGACAATCTGACCTACGTTGCTCGGACCTCGGATTGATTCGGATACCACTAGGATATAATTTAAGGCGACGTTTCTGTGCTCTCGTTGACCATCGGAATCTTCGAGGTTTGCAGTGAAGCGTGTGCAATATATTTGGATACACAGTTTAGCGACGGAAATTGCGTGAGTAGTGCTTGGCGGTGTGTAATCGCGGTGCAGCTTCGATCAAATGACCGAGGGCTCACTTCGGTTGTGCGGGGCACCGGAAGGCTGCCTTGAAGCTGGTAGTTCCCGTGCCGTGCTGAATGATGCTGTGCTGCTTACAAATTGTTCCGGCGTAAAAGTGCACTTTCACGGAGCACAGGTGTGCGGCGCACCGAAGAGCTGCCTTCAAGCTGGTAGTTCCTGTGCCATGCTTTAGGTGATGCTGTGCTGCTTCCGAAATTGTTCCGGCGTAGACGTGCACTTTCACGGAGCACAGGTGTTGCAGTTGGTATTGATCCCGCTGGTCTGCCGCACGTTTCGTCAACACAAACGTTTTATCCACACTCGTTACGCGAATTGCAAGCTGGCCGGACATTTCACCGAGCGTGTTACGTACCCAGCTCACGCCGCTTTGTGGCAACAGTCTGCAGTGGCTCATTACCAGAAAAGTGGTCCCACATCCATTTCAGTTCAGTTCGTCCACGGCAGTCGCCAAACCCCGAAGGAGAGGATTTATTCCGACAGAATGCCACTAAAGCAATGCAGCTTCTTCAGTGGTCAGGATAGATTCTCTTCTGCTAGATTTGTTATACTGTCACGGATCCTTGTTCCAGTCCTATCTTCTATCAATATTCACTATTCTGGGACACTGCAGGTCATGCTCAGCTGTAATCGTATGTTCAGGTGGAGGTGCTGGGCACTTTACCCGTAGCCCTTCACTCTGTGTGAACCCGGCGGCTCTTCAGCCGAGTTACTCGATAATGGGACACGGCTGGCGGACTATTCTGCGTCTTATACCCCTGTCGAGCCGTAGGCAAAGTCCTGACCCGAGCCTGGCAGAACAACCGCAAGACGACCGAGTACCACAAGGGGTAACCTCGGAAATACACCACGAAGCACCTGAAATCCGAGCCAGTTGCTGCTACCAGGAAAAACCACCGGAATTCGGTCTCCTCTCAGAAAATCCGAAGCTGACTAAGCCAACAATGACAAACCTGTAGCAGCAAACCGTGTCCCCTCCCACCATTGTTTGCATGCCCGTCGCAAATCACACTCCGACGCTTTTTCACGCAAGCTGTATGAAGAGGTCAAGGACTGGATTGAACAATATGACAGTGTCGCCCGCCACAATGGGTGGACAGACAACCAGCTCCTGCAGAACCTATACTTCTCGTGGAAGCAACTGCCGGCGCTGGTCTGAGAACCATGGATCCTCCTTAACGTCATGGGAAGTTTGCAAGATCAAACTGAAGCGCGCATCCGTCAGCCAACATCAACGAAAGAGAGCCGCATTCTTGATTCTGTCCAGGACACTGCCCCAATGAGAGCGCCACTGCACTCGTGGAGGATGTTCTGCGCTTGATCGAGCGCCCACGCCCACGCCGGCCTTGATGCTACAGAAGACAAGAACCTAAGAATCCCATGCGCCTCACGTGAGGGACAACACCTTCGGCAGCCTTGTCCGCAACCCCCCAACAACAGTCGAAGTGTTCATATCACTGAGGCTTCCAACATGGAATGTGCACTGCATGCCCGAGCCTGCCACTATGAAGAACTTCCCGGCGTCTCGACACTCGAGTTGTCCAGCTACTACTTCGACGCCAGCCTCCCAGGCATCCACGACATCACCCACGACGCTGTCTGGAAGGAGATCAGGACGCTACTTCCTGCCATCAGTTGCCCGGCTTTTATTTTGATTGCCGAGATTGTTTCGGAACAAGATTGACAGGTATTTCAACCGAGACTTCTGCGAGCGAAGCGGCATCTGACAAACCAAGGGCAACTTACGCCACAATGGCACGACGACCGCCACCGGCTGCCCCTTAGTATTCAATGCCAATTCAATGAGACACTCTAACGCCGAAGCATTCCCGACATCGTGTGTAGGACTGTGCTCAACAAAGTACACCGAGGAAAACGTAGGTGATGCGAATGTGCGACCGAAAACCACTTTGCTACCACTGCATGAAGCCGACCATGTCTACCAAAGCAGCCCGTACCAATGAATTGGTCGGCGAGGGTTCGTGCCAAACGACCCTCGATTACGTCTCGAGGAGCGACCACGGGAGATTAAGGATTACCTTCGGCGATCTTTGTCCCTGATGCCGAAGGTGCTGAATCGAATATTCTGAATCCCTGATTACCCCAAAGATCCTCATGTCCATCACCTCAACAAGAGGTAAGCACGACAAAGCAGGTGAGCGGCGATGCAGTGACAGTGGATTTGGTGTCGGTTGTCGTCCAAGGACAATACCTAAAAATTTGCTGACACCAATTTTCTGTGTCCACTCCACGAAGCACACAATTTCCAACTTTGAGGGAGAATGCCCCTGAGTGACTTGAAGGAATAGAATGGTTGGTTGCCCTCAAAAGTGAACTGCAAGCATCACCAGACTTGGATAGCAAACAAAAATTGTTGCCAGCTTTCAAGTCAACGGTACAGCGAAAGGCACAGCCACGTAAGCAATACATGCCCGAGCTTGCTACATTGATGCCGAAAACTACCAGGAAAATTTTCGGATTAGAAGCCAGCCCTGCAGCTTCAGTGCACATGACGTATGATTACAAGACAGCATCAGTCGGTCAAAGTTGCCACTCGACCAAACTGAACACCGACGTGCCAGGAGCATCATCCGACAACAAGGTCCACAGGTACTACGACTGAACGCCTGACACGAGACTGTCGCAGAAAGAACTCGTTATGGAACCATTTACTAAGAATCAATAATTATGTAATCAAGCGGAAATAAACATATTTGATACACTAACCAGATAAACATATTTCCGCTTGCCTTCATGCCTTGAGAGTCTACACACCGAGAATTGTGTCCATTGCACGCTCTAAACCTTACGAGGACACTCGCTTCTCTGACTCTTCAATATTAATTAAGGGGTCATACCAGACTGGCAGACTTCTTGCAAGGGGCTGCACTCGTTCAAACTTTCCTGAACGTGTGGTGCATCCGAAAACCAACTGCAGTGATGTGAAAATGTTATTCATTAATTTATTCCTGCCAGGGGCCTTCGTAGGCATTGCAGAGAGGATACTTAAAACTACACACATGATAATAGCATTAAAGCACACTGCTGTAACTTGTTAATTGGAAAAACAAACACACCTCTGAGCATATAGTTTAATAGTATGTGTTGATGCATTGCTATATAGCATGACACTTCTTATATGTATGACACAATAGACCCTTTGCAGAACCTTTTCAAGCAACACATCCGTCACCATTTTGTTCGGCGCAAAGCACACGAATGGGCCCCAGTTCATGTCGAACGCCAATGCAGCATTCGAGTCCAATAGTTGCTGAGCCGAATTCACAGGGATGGCGGACATAACATTCTTGTCGAACAAATACCCAAAGTATGAAAGCCTGGGGTAATTACAGTTTGTAATTTGTTTCATCAGAATTTGGCAGACGGCAAAGGCTACGGTCTCGGTGAGTCAATACACACATTGGAGAGAGGCACATGACAGCATATCACCAGAGTGCTCGTCTGCACAGATTTGTCACACACCTTCGCTTCGTCTCTCTGATTGGCTCGAGGGGGCTGTGGCGGTTGGCCTTTTCCAAGTTACGGTGATGCGAAGTATAGACAGCCCACACTTTTAAAAAGAGTCTATTGAAGAGACCGAAAGGAATGGTAGTCAACATTTTTCAACAAGACTGCTCTCCAGGCAAGGGATGAAAACGAATATGAATCATCTTATCCAGGTAATTAGAACAATTAAATAATTGACCGACTAATACAATGCACTCTTGATGGAAAAGAGTATAGCTGCAATAAATCCTACAAAACAGAAAAAATGCGCAGTTAATCTATGCATGCATCAAAACAGTTGTTCTTATAGCAAGTCGAATAGCTTTGAAGCAGGTGCCTGCAACGATTTATTCTTCCCCATACTCAATAAAACGCTAACCTCGTAGCTGAAAATAAGGGTGCACTTCGCACTCACACACACAAAAAGAAAGGAAGAAAAGCGATCGAATGTAGAATCGTGGATTAGCACAAAAGGTTAAAATCGCAGGAGCTTCCTCGCTAAAAGTTGCTATGGTTGTTCGGTGACGGAGGGCTGAAACAACTTCCCTTAGGCCCTAACGCGACGTATACATTTCGCGTAGATTCTCAGATATTTCAACGTTCAAACAAAGCTAAGAGAATGCGAAAATTTCATGTTAAAAGCACTCAAAGTTCTATCGATCCTCGGACACATCCCGGAATCCAAGCACCGGTACGGCGATGCAGAGCTGATGCTGTCTCACAGGCGTTAATATCCAGATGATCCAGAGCGATCTTGCGCAAAAACGGTATAAAGTCTCATTCCTTCATATTTTCACATTATACCTGCGTCAGCGAGCACGAAGAAGCCCGAAGTCGTCGGAAAGCAGCTGCACATCACGGCTACCGCGCACCGAACAAACTCGCATCCGCCAGCTCTGGGCGCTGCCATCTTACCTGTGACGTCACGGCTCTTGGAAGGTCACGTGACGAGTGGTCACATTTGCGTAAAATATGGCGGCAACCGGGGGGGTGCCACTTCCGAACTTCCGGTTTATCACTCTAAGCCCCTCTACCTCGTTGTGCTTTGCGCGCTTTGCGCCAACGTAACTCTAGAGCCAAGCCTCACCTCTGAAGCTGTAGCCAAGATAAGCCAAGCCAAAGCTAAAAAAAAAAAAAAAAAAAAAGACTGTGTTGTGCTGTTGGGTGATCGTTCACGGGATTTTCGAGTTGCATGAATTTCCGAAGTTAAGGTAAATATTACCCGCTATTACATCACGTAAAAGACCACAGTTATTACAGTGGCCGAGGCATTTATGGGTGCTACTATGAGCCTTCTGTTTTGAAAGGCTCGACCGGACGCATCCGGGATGTGCTGACGGCTTGGCGCGAAAACAGCCGAACAGCTGATATATCGCTCTTTCACCGACTTTCTTCCAAAACGGTAGCATTCTTTTGTGTCTGACTTGTTTCAGCTTAGCTAGGAACGCAACGACGCCAGGTTATAACTCCTGGTATTGCTTTGGAGTGCTTTGTAACGTAGTTTCGTTCTCTTGCGGGTTTGGTCGCCGAAGCGTGTTGAAGCGTTCATAAAGCCACGCTGCGCGTTTCTTCCGCGAAACGTAAGCGTTTGTTGTGGTTAATGTGGTGTGGCTACTCAGAACCGACTGATTTCTTTGCGTCCGCGTTTCATCGAAGTTTACAGCTGCTGGGACTGTTGTCGTCGCCGTCGCAATGACCAAACGAAGGACCGAGGACATCGAAAACTGGTCAGGGAGCGATTGCTCCCCGACCAAGAAGTTGCGATGTGGATCTCAAGAGAGTTCATCTCAGGTATTTTGTCTTCTGTGCTCTTTTTAGGTATTGCGTTCCTGAAACATCGAAATAGGGTCCATGCCGATCGCGCAAATTGCCTCTTAATTGTTTGAGTTCACGACGGGTTGGTTGCGGTTATTGAAACTGAATGGGCTACAAAAGCATGATTGGATTTCCGTGAAGCTATCAAACGTAATGCAGGTTTCTTCCTGCTCCGCGCACCTGTGGACTCTCCGCTAATTTACGGTGGGTCGAGGCATCGACGGAGCTTTCAATAGCCCAGCGTTTTAACATTTTGATTTCTGACCTATTGTTCTGTCACGCTGTATAGAAAAAGAAATGTTTCGTATTTAAATTTTACCAAAATCTACAATGACTAGGCGCTGTTTGTGAGGTTTTGCGGCATGTGTACTTTGCATTCGCAATAGCCTACTCAGATTTGAAGTTTCGACTCTGCAAGTGTGTAAAATCTTAGTTAGAACCTGCTACTGACAAAAACAGTTAGATTCTTCGATGTGGTGGCTGATCTCTCCGTTTAATGGACTGATCTCACCAGCCAGTTTCATTACACTGCTGCAATGCGTCACGGAAACTTTAGCCTTTCCGTACAAGCGACAACCCTACAGCAGATGCGTGTAAGCAGAGCCAGAGACGGCACAAGCCATGTCATGCGCTGCCATTTAACATTTCTCGACCGAAGTCAGTTTTCAGGTTTCCTAGGATACCTAGCACCTTTTCGTGGTGCGTCCAATCGGGGGCACTTGTTACGCTCCCATCCCAGCCCATGCGGACAGAAGCGGTGGAACTGGTGTAACATTCGATGCACATAATAATAATAATAGCTTTATTTACCATATATAAGCATGATGGGGGCTGAGGAAAAAAGCTGTCCAAGCAGCTTGACTGGTCCGCAGCCTGCGGTGATTCTATTGCATCGTTCGTGCTAAACATAAAAGTTTGCGGCAAAAAAAGTATAGTTCGAAAACGGTCCTCCTTTATCTTTCTTGGGTGCGGTGCTGCTGGCTGGGATAAGATCGCTACCCGCCTGTACCTGCTTACGTGCGGACAACAGAGAGCCGTTTTCGAAGGATGCTCCTCCGTGGAGCTTGTCAACTGATAGATCTAAGAACGTTGCTGCCACTGGCCTCGTGTGGACTAAAGTTACGGCGGTGTCACTCGTGTGCCCAACGCTCGGTGGGATCGTTCTATTAGAAAACAAGAAATATGCTGCGCTAGTGTCACGCTACCTTCGGGAGGGGCGCAACAATGCATGGGGTGTGCGATTGCAGGATACGCTCACGGCACTGAATTGGCTGGGATGGCTCGTAGTGGCGTTTGGTGCGGTCAATTGCGAGGTGAAAGCGAGTGTAGAATATTGCTAGGCACCAGGCATCCTTTCCATTTTAGTACTCTCTTTCGTAGCAAATAACAATTTTCTCCTCTTTGGGGCAGGCTTTGAAATTTAGAGGCAAGCTCAAAATTTGTGCTTCGAGATCACCAGACGGGGCTGATGCCTTGACTTTGTTTTAACCTTTTTCAGACAAAGCAGTCCATTGGAATCATAGAGTCCGTGCAGCTGAGGAACTTCATGTGCCACACCAAGCTTGACTTTTCGTTTTCGGACCACACCAACTTTATCATTGGAAGGAATGGAAGTGAGTTGGACCACTGCCATATGATTGGTCATGGGAGGATTGGGTCGGGTACTTGAACCGATAGCAGGATAAGTCGGCAGGATGGTTACACAACGCTGGTGCTTGACAGGCTCTGGAGAGAGCAAGCTTAAAGGGGCACTCAAATAGTTTAATGGTGCACTGAAATAGTTTTTGAGATTGTCTATTTATGTTGATAACCCAATCTACGGGCTCTAAGCATCCTAAGAAACCTGAAATTACACTTGTGGTGGACATTTTTTCTATTGAAAATGTAATCAAGGATTGTCATGCACCTCTCTTTCTGCCTCTTAGAGCAGACACTATAGTCGGTTACAAGTCAAGAAGGTAGGAGAAGCTCCTCCCAGAAGTGTGATGCGCCCGTTTTAAATCTCTCCGCAGTCGAAAGAAGAGTTCGCTGGAAACGCTCCTTGTTCCGCTTCAATGGATTCCCACTTGTCTCCGATCCCACTTTTTAAGAAAGCGACCTTTGTATTCATCGGAGAGGGAGCCGAGCCCCTGAAAGCAGCCTTTGTATCCATCGGGGGGGGAAGCTAATCCCCGAAAGTCGTATTTGTTTCCGTCGGTGGGGGAGAACTCTAATCTCCCTCTCGTGGCTTCCACAATGCTAAGTCAAAGTCGAAAGATAAAGCAAATATGTACAGAAAGGCAAGACCCTCCTCGCGCGTTGTCCGCGACGTCACGGAAACGGTGGGACGTTATTGGATGCAAAAGTGGCGGAGGGATATCTGATTCCCTTTGAGGGGCATTTGCCGCTACCTTCTTAACCTGTAACTGACTATAGGGGGTGCCGTCAGACAGTGTTTTCAAACAATAATTGTTGTTTTACGTCTTCTAAGCCAAAAACTTGACGTTTTTCTTGGAATATAATAGATAGTGCGCCTAAAAAGAGCAATAATATGAACAATCAGAATCTCCACGTAAGTAACTATTTTCATTGGTCAAGTTTCATTGAGATGGTGGGGATTCGAGGAAGTGCCCCCCTAAGAGAAAATAGTGCCTATGTATTCCTATTGCTGCGAGCTTACTATACACCTTTTCAAGAAAGGCTCGGCCCCAGGGACAAGAGTACCTTTTTTGAGCCCAGTCACTTCGTTTGAGGCTAGTCTCGCTGGCGTCCCTGCTAACCCCAACTGAGTGGACTGTGATTTAATGGGCGCAGCCTGCGTAGGCGCAATTTAAAACACTGCTGACGGCTTTCCTGAGGACATTGAGGAAGCATTGTACTATATTTGAAACAAAACAAACAAAAAATTGTAAACTATTTTTGTTGGGTATGTGGGGGACAGAACAAATGCGACTAGAATGTTTTGTTTTATTTTACGGCAAGTTTTGAAGGCGTTGCCTGCTCAGCCGTCCGTCAAACAACAAAGCACTTAGCGGTTAAAAGCTATTTACAACAGAACATAGCCGAAAGGCGCGCATGTTTCACGCGCACAAATAGTGTGTTTACCGATGGACAGGACTCGGGACATACTATTTTAGCGAGTGTTAACGTTCGAACAACATATTGTATGTACCATGCGGTCCAGCGTTATCAAAAAAAGGATTTATTTGAGAAATATTTCAAATTACACAGCAGTGCAATGTCGATAACTCTCACATCCTGACGATCAGACCGAATCCAAGAGGTCTTCGTTTTGGAGAGAGCCATCTTTTTTTTCACACCACCACCAAGGCAAAGAAACGGACGCGACTGACCTGTTCCCAATTTGAACAGTTATTTTTGGCTATGACTGAGGCTACTGTACATGGATTATCTCTGGGAGAGGGAGAACAGTTGTCATTGGTTGCAAAATCGTGTCGAGGGCCTTTCGACATCCTTTCCCTCCTTTGTTTCCAGTGAATGTCAAGCAGAAATGCTTGAATGGCAGGCACTTACCAGCCCTATTTCTCGCAGTGGAAGATAACACAAAAAGGGTATGCACCATGCATGCAAAAAATGAAGTGGAAACTTTCCAAGAGAAGCTGGAAAACTGAATGCAAAACCGGAAAACATAAGTGGAGAATCTCGCCGAGCAGGTTTCCACAGTTGAAGAGACTGGCAGAAAATTTCTAGCTGATAGGGAGCATGACAGTCGCACCAGCTGCATCATCATCAGCAACATGGCGGCGGCCTAGGGCGTTTTACAGCATAGCTGTTAAGGGCTAGTTTCCCCAGCATCGTGTCCTCCGCAAAGAAATGTAATTATTTTCTACGAAAAGCAACTCAGTGCCCCTTTAAAGGGAAGTGTGATTTTGTAGAAGTTATATTTAAAGGGGCCCTGCAATCATACTTAAGCGTCTACCTTTTTTGCGGTTTCCACGTCTCTTGGGGTTGGGCAAGCCAGCGGGCACGGAGAGAGTAACTAAATATCAGTGCGTCATAATTTTAACCGAACGACGCGGAAACCTCTTCTACCGACGGGGGCGACCCGTGGTACTGAAAGCGCGCAAAATGTGACGTCTTTGGTCCTGGGCTTACTACTGGTCAGAGCCGCTAAAAGCATCTTTTTAGTCGAAATACAAAATATAAGTGGCGCGAACCGTTTTAACTATGTATAAAAGTAGTTTTTTTACAGTATTTTTGATCAGAAAAGAAACAAATGCAGTATATAAAGTACGGAAACAAGAAATGACCCGTCGACATACCCGCCACCAAGCGGTGAAAAAGGCGGCGCATGCTAGAAAGGAGTAGTGAGATCAGGTGCCGACACGGAAAGGTACCGGATGTATGCGGCGGCGCTGCGGTCGTAGGGACTGGAGGATCCGACTGGCTCCGAGCCTTCCGAAGGCCCTCGGCGAGCAGCTTTGTCTGGCAGTTCGGCCGTTTCGCGGTATAGCAGCGGGAAGTGGCTCCCGTTCTGAACTGATCTTTAACCCATGTTTGCTGTCGTTTGTGGCCAATGAAGTGTCATGCCGAATTAGTGTTTAATTGCGCAGCAAATGCAATGTGAGCCGCCCTGGCTGCCCGCTGCATTACAGCCTATTCAAAGCATGCTCTAGTGGCGCCCTCTCGCGCCGTCGACACGGAGTGCGGCAGCCGTGAGCGCTCGCATAGCTCACTACCCCTCCTCCAGTTCACGGCCACTCAAGCAACCATGGACGTCATGAAGGAGGTTATTTTTTGCTTGTTTTTGTTATTTTAATTTGCCTATAACTTTTAAAATAAAGCGAAATTCGAGAAAAGAAAGGTTTATTAAGTTACTACGTTCAGTGCGCTTAGGTTCGGTGCAAATTAAAAATTAGTAAAAAAAGTCATTGGGGCCCTGATTCTGAGGGTAGATTTTATTTATTTATTTATTTTAAACACTACATTCTTCAGTCACGGGACGGGGTAGGGGTGGAAAAGACATCCAACACAACTCTGACAGCAGAGAGTTCCTATAAAAAAGAGAGCAAAGGGCTTCCACTATTGGGATAAGGAGCTGAAGACTAGGTACAATGGAAGAAAATTTCCAAATTCATGGGAAGGACTGTAGACTAGAGTGATATCAGTGCACATAATTTCGGTATACTATAGACCGACACGCTGTTTACAAACAAGCCCGCGTTGGCCCACAGCAAATGTGGGCACTGCGCGTGCGCACAAACCGAATTTGCGTGAAGTGAGACGTCTGCGCATGCGCCGTGCCGTCGACAGCGCCACCGCAGCTGCGTGACGTCAAGGCCGCGTGTTGGTCTATAGGGATGAGGAACTTTCAAGATCGACCCAAGTTCGAACCGTGCATACTGATTTCACTCAAATTTGTGAACTGAATATGCTTATGAGTATTATTTATCATAAGTTAGGAATGTTGAAAGGAAGTTGAACAACAAACTTCCCCAGACAACAAACTTCCTCAGTCTCAACATCGGTAATTAATAAAAATCATGGTTAATTTGGTATCTAAGGCATATGTTGTGTTAAAAAAAGAAAGGAAGAGCACATTGTTACAAAGTATCCTGTCCGATATCTAGTTAATTTTGGAGTTTCTTATTACAAAGGCGACATTGAATTCTTGAGTGATCTGGGGTCACCTGCGATGGTGGGCCTTAAACTGTGCACAGGAAGCGTCACCATTGTTTTAGTGGCATTGCTACCTATTGAGGTTGATGTAGATCAGTGTATTGCAAACCGCCCGCTGGTTTAATTCCTAAGCGAGGGCCAACATAGCCAATTGATGTGATCGACCGATCATCTGCTAGGTGGCAAGAGCGCCATCCTGACGTCGCTCATCATCGGACTGGGCGGAAAAGCAAACACTGCTTCGCGGGGCACGTCTGTCAAGAACCTCGTGGAAACCGGGAAACGGTGCGGATACTCTTTCTTTTACCTTTTTGTGGTCTGTCTTCAAGCAGAAGTGGAGAAGTTTTGCAAGTTTTCCCATTAAGTGGGACGCATAATTGATGTTATTGGGAATAAAGCAAAGACTCAAGGAAGGGCTTAAAATGTCTGCTGTTTCTCATGTTGAAGAGGAATTCTCTCTTTTCTTGGAGTAAGGGTGGGGGGTCAGTTAGTTTTTTCAGACTGCTTGATTATTCAGGGGGACTTTATATTGTGTCAACTGTCCACCAAGACCCCTTCTCAATATTGTCAGGACAGCGTACACAATAATTTGATTCACAGTGTACCAGCTTCCGATAGCTTCACCTCGAAAGAAGGAAAGAGAGGTATCGGTATTGAACAAAGTTGCTCAGCAATGGAAATAGCACTGATCTTGCTCTTCTTGCAGCACTGACTTTTTTCTATAGTATAGCAGTGATACAGTGCTACATCGGTGCTGAGTTACGTTGGAGTTGGCGCTGCATCAGCGCTATTTAGCACTGCGACGTATGTGGGAACCGGCCCTTAAGCTGACCTCCACGGCTTTCCAGGGCAGCGGAAGTGACGATACGGCTGAGGAACCATGGCCGGGACGCCTACAAGCCCGAGGAGTATGGCAATTCTATTATCGTTCACCGACGGCTCACGGCTGAGGGCGCCTCCACGTACAAGCTCAAGTCTGGGACGGGAACGGTGATCTCCACAAAGCGAGACGAACTCCTCCACATCCTTGACCAGTTCAACATCCAGGTGGGCCTTCTCTCTCTCTTTCTCTCTCTAAAGGCCGGATAAGACGTACACTGCAGTGCTAAATCAACGCTAAGAACGGCGCTGACACAGTGCTGACTTGAGCTTAACTTAGCACTGACGGAGCATTGCATCAGTGCTGTATCATTTATATAGTGCAAAGTCTGCTCTGTGTCAGCAAGGTCAGTGTTATTTCCGGCACTCGCTCATAGTGCTTTTGTAGCCTTGCGGTGTATGTGTGAACACGCCTTTGAGGTCGGTTGGCACATGCAGCGCTGAGATTTTTCAAAGCCGGCACTATCTGAGTTTGCGCTGCATTGTCTGTGTAAACAGGGACAGGTGAGGTCACATGCTGCAGAGCACTGGTGCAGTGCTGGTATAGTCAGTGATGTGATTGCTGTGCCAAACTGCGCCAAGGGGCTAACCCTTCTACATCCTGCTACATTTGACCAAAATATGGGTAATGTGCACCAAGCATGTGCCAAAAAACCAATTTCGGTCGCCTTTCAGAACCGAAACTAAACCGAGTATTGTAATTGAGGCGTGTGTTATGTGGCACAAGCGGCCGTCCGGCACAAAGTACCATGCATCAATTAGCCATCCGGTTTTGCATAGTTTTCTTGCCGTCCTGCGTTTCGCGCTCTCGTCGTCTCATGGGTCTCGACTCGCGTCTTTTTCAAAAATATTTTCAATGATGTGCGCGGACGCTCCGACGCTAGCAAGCCGGGTACCAGCCATGCCGTCATGCTGTGAAACGAAATTACGTTTTTGCGCGACGGGAGTTACTTTGTGAGCTGAAGCACTCACTCCTGAAAGCAACGGCCATGGGAAAACTATATTTGGTCCTTGCCTTCCAGTCAGCGTGGTCGCGCGACGTCGGGTGTTGTCGTCCCCATGTCTCTGCAGATATGGCGCTTTCTAAAATGAAACTAAGTACCCCAGCATGTTCATCAACATTCCTGTTCTTGTTTAAATCATACGTTACTATAAATGTCCCTCTTTAACTCAAAGACCGCTGTGTTGACGTATTGATTACCTAGGTTTCTCTCGGTGGACTTTCTTTCGAGAGGGACACCGGTACATCAAAAATCTGCTGCGAAAGGAACTCGGTGAAGGGAAGTGAGCTATACCAAGGAAGGCAATGTCTGCACGCTGAACCTGCACAGCGCGCATGTTTGTCTCGAGTTCAGTCGTTGCACTAAGTGCTCTAAGAAAGTTTTGATTCTGGCTCGCGATCTTTGCATCAATGCGCTCAGGTTATTATTTTTTTGTCTGTGTGTGTGTGTGTGTGTGTGTGTGTGTGTGTGTTTAGCCTGTATTTGGTTTGCCAGCCTGGCAACCACGTGCCGCTGGTCTGTTTTTTGTCGTATGCTTGACAGTTACATTTTGCATACAATTTTGGGAATCAGTTGGCGACGGAGCGGAGTGGCATGGTTTCGGTTTCGATCGAACTGTCGTTGTCCCCGTTCGCGCGACGAAGCACGCACAACTGCAAGCCTGCAGACGTTGCCCTCACACCAGTCATGGGCACGTTACTGCTCAAACGTAACAGTGTTACAGTTACAGTTACTCAAGTAAAAAAAGTAACCCTGTTACAGTTACAGTTACAAAATTGAAAGTGTAACTTGTTACAGTTACTTCTCTGAAGTAACGCCGTTATTTCGTCGTTACTTTACAAAGAAACATGAGAAAACATTCAAAATGGACATTCTTTTATATGCCTTTAAATTAGCATAGATTTCTTATAAGACATTCTGTTGTTCACGGTTGTGAATCTGATTATTTTGAGAAACTAAGATTTTCTTAATAATATATATTAATATATTTGGTTCTTCCTGTTTCAATTTTTACTATGAATAGCTCAGATCATAATTTAAGGCAGTATCCGAGTAAATCCACTATATGATAAAGAATTGGAGTCTCTTGGTTGGAAAAATTACAGGGGACTTTAGTCTTTCAAAATTTTAGCATAGCAGATAGCTGGTCTATAAAGAACTTTAAAATAAGAGCGACCACTATAAGGTATACACGAACACAACGGCACGCGTCCATATCTCGTGTATATCCAATCATGGTGACAGTTTACAATCAATTAATTCTAATTTCGGATTTTTTTTTTTTATGAGGAAAAATTGGACTGAAGCAATATAAATCGTGCAAATGTGAAGTCAATAATAATGTGTCCTACCTTGCAATCAGCTTCGTAGATAACTTCTTATGCCACTCTAATTCACTCGTCGGTCAAATCGTTTTCTACTGCGTGCCCACACTCTTTCATGAAGCACGAAGCTTTTCTTGAAAACTTGGAGAGCAATGTTGCGGCTACATTCCTCCGTCAAAATAAGCACTGATCGAGGTACAAACGACCACTGCGCGTGGAATTCCAAACGGCCTGCTGCCTTTCCTCCGTCCTAACCAGATCGAACTTCCTCCTCTATCTCACCACCCGAAATAGGAGAGACCACTTGGAAAGCCCACGACTTGAATATCTACAAGTCAACTGATGCCAAGTGCCCTGATCCCAGCTAAAGGCGGTCTTTCAATTACAAAAACACGGACAAACAAGCAGAACGACACAGACGTTTCGAGCAGATACTCATTCTCAAGTGAAAGGACCCGAGAAGGGAGAAGTGGGTGACGGGAGGCAAAACCGGTAATTGGGTTGTAAAAAAAAAAAAAAAAAAAGGGAAGGGAGAGTAAACGGGGTCTGAAGTCGAGACCCCGCAAGAGTGCATCTGGGAGGAAGACAATTCAAATTAGAGGGGAAGGAAACTTATGCTTGGCGGCAAGAAGACGCCTGTAAGCCTGCGGGCGTTTGGGGTGACCATTACCAAAAACTGTCCTTTGCAAAAAACACTCGCTTCCTTCGCGGGACGAAGAAAAGAGAAATGCTTTAAAGATGCCGCGCTTTGTTACATCTCTGTGCGCTGTGGGCATACAAGGCTGGTACGGACACAAACGTCCCCATCCTCCCAGTTGGCGGGACTAGCTCGGCCGTGCAGTGTCAAACAAAATTTAGTTTCTTTATATTTTTATTTTTTCCCCTCCTGCTTCAGACGTTTCCAGCAGCAGTTTTTGCTGTGCCCTTCCCGCACCAAGGCTTGGGACTCTCTCACGAGTTGCAAGGCGATTTGGTGGTCGTGTTCCCATAAGTCTGAGAAGTAACTGTAACGACGTTACTTTTTACAGTTACTCTCGAAAAATAGTAACTCTGTTACAGTTACAAGTTATTTCCACTAAGCTCTAATGCGTTACACTTATAAGTTACTGAAAAAAGTAACTAGTTACTGCCCAAGACTGCCTCACACGCATGTGAACATGATTGCATGACAGAGGCACCAGCCGGTACGCTTGCAATCCATTGTTTCACGTTTGCTTACTTTTGACGAAAATCTGGCACGTCGGGAACCAGTAAAACAGTGGCAAGCGGTTCTTCGGAATTGCTCGGCAATGCCTACAGCACTGTACACTTGTGGGATGTCTCAGCAGTAAAACCACAAGCAGCGAGTTCCGTCACAATAAGTCAAATGAGAACACAATACAACACAAAGTGTCCTTCGTTTATACAGCACTGAAAACAAATATTTTTATTTTTATTAGAATATCTGCTCCAAAAGCAACTTTTGCTGCTCCGAAACGTTGTCTTGGCTTCTCCAAAAGCCACTTTTGCTGCTCCAAATCACTGTTTTGGTTGCTCCGAAGGCCACATTTACTGCTCCAAAACACTGTTTTTGCTGCTCCGAAAGGTGCTCCAAAATGGATTAGGCCAATCACATCTCTGTATAGTGCAAAGTCTGCACTGTGTCTCCAGCACCAAGTTAGCACTGCACTGTATGTTGTGCTGTACATTTTTGCTGGGTGTCTGCACCCCAGCTTTCACTTTCTTGTGTCTAATTACGGCTCCCTTAGATCTGGCATTAGCGTGAAACCACTGCAGCAGCTTTTTTGTCTAGGTCACAGTACTTGGGCCGAGTCTTGTAAGTTTGTCAGAGGCACTTTAGTCGCTGACAAGGCGAGGACGGCAGGGAGAAGTTTCAGCTGTCTTGCCTCCAGCACAAGCTTTTTACCTTCAACAATGCTTTGGCGTCTCAAGCACGCATGCACGTCCAAGGCATGGTGGGAAGCATAGAGTAGAGTGCTTGCTGGAGGCCGGACGTTTGAAACATACGCCCGGCCGTTCCTATTCTGGCAGTGTCTATAACTGCATTGCCGCACTCTATGCACTGGGCTTGGCTCGTGATCTGTCTCAACACTGCTCCACCGTAAAAGCGCATAGCAGCATCATTAGCAAGCTCACACACATATTTTGCCTTTAGCATAACTTGCACCTTTTGTTTTAGTAAACCATTTAGATCTTTTTTTTTTGTTGTTCACGTCTGCACACGAGCTCTGCAGCCGCGCGTTTATTTGACATTTATTGGTCTTTGGAAAAGATTGAAAGATTAATTAACGATGAGAACGATTGTTTCAGATTGAGAACCCCGTGATGATCCTGAACCAAGAGACGAGCCGGAACTTCCTCCAGAGCAAGAGTGCCAAAGACAAGTACCTCGTGAGTTGCGCGCTTTTAGTCTCCTTAGAATCCTTGCCAAGCGGCCTCGCTTGACTGCGTGCCGCTCTCCACCCGCAGTTCTTCATGAAGGCTACGCAGCTGGAGAAACTCAAGCTTGACTACTGCCACATCGAGGAAGAGCGGGCACTCGCTGAAATGGAGGTGGTCCGGAAGGAGAAGGTGAGCACTTCCTTTTGGCAGCAGATCGGCGGCCTGGCGTCGCACCGCTTCGGAGACTTCGGAAGGTTTGCAGCCACACTGGAGGGTGCAAGTTAGAGCTACTACATCGGCTGCTCTTAGGGTATCGACACTGCATTCCTTGATTGGCTCGTCGCCGTCGCCTGGTACTGAGCGGTTGCGATTGGCAATCTGAGATGCGGCTTTGCGAGCTTTAGATATAGAGTTGGAAAGCTTGAGCATTACCGTTGGCAACAATGATTTCAAGCAACGAAATGGTCAAAGTGTCGTTACCTCGAAGTGTGACTCTTGTGCTAGTGACAAGTTGGTGGCGCCACTCTGCAACATAGGGGCTTTCAAACGATCCAATCGCGAGAAAAAGGACCATCTCTCTCGATTGATGGCCGGGGAACCTCTTTGGGTGTTGGCATTGATGCAGTAAAGTAGTGGGGAAGCCGATCGGAACGCCCCGTGTGGCGATGCCGTATTAGGCTGCAAACATTGCGAAGTTGCGGCGACTGCACATTGCAGGTCCTGCCGGAGCTGGAGAAGCAGGTGAAGCGCTACGAGAAGCAGTGGCGCCTGCTTCAGAACCTCGAGGACCAGCGGCTTAAGCTGGAGAGGTTGAAGGGGGAGCTGCTCTGGACCAGGGTGCAGGAGGAGGAAGAGGTAGAGTCCCTCTCTTCCTCGGAGAAGAACTCCCGCGTCACTCTTTCTCGTCTCCGACCTCTTAAAGTGACGGCTTTTATGTGGGAGCCCTTCGTGGACCTTCCTCGCTTGTGTTGTTGTTTGTCTCGCCTTATGGCTTCGCAGTATCGCACAACATTAAGGTGTCACTTTACGTCACGGTTGACATCGCCATGTCGTCTCATAATTCCATGTGACAGCACGGTGTTGAGTGACGTCACAGTGTCACGGAACGTCGGGCTGTCATGTGACATGTGTATCGACATCACAATGTCGTGTCGTGGTTCACGCAACAACGTCTCATCATAGTGCACGAGCTGCCAATCTTTGGACTGGCTTCTCGTGCGCATTCCCTCGTTGCTCCGACTGTAACGTACGTCAAATGGCCCCGGAAACTTCCGCAGCAGTGGAGGTCCTATTTTTTGTCGCCTTTCAGTTGCTGAAGCAGTCGGAGGCGTCCCTCGCGAAGGAAGAGGCCACGTCCGCGAAGCTGAAGGAACGGATGGCCGACTTCGAGGTTTGTGGGTCTTCTCTCAAAGTGTGTTTGAGAAATCTGTTTCTGTTTGGTCGGGAGGGGAATCATGACGTGTTTTTTTATACATGTTTGCTGGGTTGCTGAATAGCAGTGATTGGGAAGCACGGGCTGCACGCTGGCAGCATGTTGCCAGCACGTACCTTGCTCCAACACCAATTGACTCGCTGGAGCCACGGGTTGTGCCGTTTACCGAATTACGCCGAAATGGCGTTTAGCGAATTGCACAGCTGAGCACTCTGAACGTGGCCGAGAGTCGCAACTCGCACAGACGGAATGCTCGGGGTTTGTCCCCCTTGTCTCGAGGTCATAGAGCGCTTGCGGACGAGGCACGATTTTTTTGCTTCCCATAGGGTAAGGCACAGTCTCACGCGGAGAAGCAGAGGAGCCTCCAGGAGGAGCTGGATGAGGTGCTTAACCGCATTCAGCAGGTGCAACCTGTCTTCCTGGCTGGCAGGAAGGAGTTCAGCGCCAAGAAGGAGGCACAGCGGGAAACCGACGTGAGTTGAGCGTCTTTCTCGTTGGGCAGACAGGCGAGTCGGATTCAGTCTATTCGGTGCGGGTCGGTTCAGAGTTTAAAGTCCCGCAACGTGTGTTTGATCTGTCAATGCGTTAAAATGCCTCTTTTAATTAATTTTTTTTTTTTTTTTTTTGTATAAAACAGTCTATGACTAGGCAAGAACGGCAACTTGTGCTTGGTCGAAGCTCACAAAACGTTGAAGCGTTTGCCGAAAGTAGGAAGCTTGCACTGGACACAGTACAACTGGAACTGTTCTCTGCTGTTCTTACCTTCTCAGAGAAAATGACAAAGCAGGACAACATTAAAAAATATATATATAAAAAAAAATACGAAAAAAAATCTACCGAATAGAGAAGTGCAGACGTCGAACCTTAATTTAAAACAGTTTCAGGAGGCTTGTTGTGTTCCCATTTGACAAAGTTAAGCCAATTTTCTAGATATGCGAGTGTCTGACAAGAAACCGTACTGGCCTCACAACTGGGGAATGTGTACAAAACATTCCTTTTCAAATTCGTCTTATGTGGTTTCTTGTAACTTCGTGCAATGTGTTAATGCGACAATTGTGATGAATTGTTTCTTAATGGATAGCTTGTGATTCTACAAAGTATAATGACTGCTTACCACAAATTTTCTACCTATGAAGTCATTGATTTCACATAAACATTGTGCTTGAGTGTACTAGCGACACGCGTGGAGTGTAGAGTTTGACGGGACTACGGTAGTCCGGGCAGTGCTTCAGTCGAATCACATAAATTCTTTATTTGTGTAGTAACCAGGTGCTGAGCAGAAAACTCTGTAGCAAACGTCTTATGTCGGCATGTTATGTCTTGGTTTCCTTTACCAGCACGCATCCACACTTTTCATGAAGGTGCTGTCTGTTCCTGCTTCTAGAAGAGACATGTCTGAACCTCCCTGGTATAAAAGATAACCAGTAGTAGGTATACTGCCATGGCTGAATTTGGTGTCCACGTTTTTTTTAATGACCCATAATTAATTAATCTAGTGTCGTTCAGATCCCAGGTTAGTGCCAACGTCGTATGTTTCCAACTTATCTCGAAAACTCGACTCTTGCAGTATTGGAAAATCCCCACCTCCTTTCACCACAGTGCAAAAGTACCTGCTGGTGACATGGTCTCACATTAACATGTCTGCCTTCAAATCGTCTTTTGGGATTATCTGGGAAGTTTGGTCAATCTCGTTTTCAATGTAGAGCTGTGGTGCTACTGTTTTTCTTTCTGCAGCAATCTGCCAACCGGATAGAGAGAGAAATGCAGGAGAAAAAGAAGGAAGCCCTGATTCTTCGAAAAAGGATCGAAGAGCTGAGGTCCATGTGAGTTCTTTACTTCTACTATGCCGTTGCATTCCTGTCTCTCTTTCACTGTCTCTGATGTCCTGGGGATTGTAGGCTAGGTTTTCCTGCCAGGCTTGTGCTGGGTAGTTTCATTTTAATGGACCTTTTTTCCAGTGAGTCTGTGCACATGTGTTGCATCCTTTCCCCTGGGCTTGCTTCCCACTGTCGCCATTTTCACAGGGCACCTTCCTACGTGACCAACGTTGTCAGCCTCTATTGCTGCACTTATTTCACGTTGGGCTGCCCTTCATCTCTAAGTTGCAGGCAGTCCCTCAGATGGCGCTCGTCACTCGAAAAACGTTCATTCGCTTATGCGTGTCACATGTGTGGAATCTTTAGCCTGGGATGAAATTAAAAAAAAAAAAAAGTATAAGCTCCTCCCCTCATTTTTGTATGAGGCTCGCTAAACAACTGATTGTAAGATTTTTTTTTTTTTGGGTGCGATGATAAGCGTTATAGCATGTGAATCACATGTACTGCATCTTCGAAGAAATGTTTTTTTGGGACCTTTTTGATTTGAAAATGCCTGGCTGTTCAGTGCAGTGGGCCTCCGAGTACTGGGCAGCAATGTCGCGTGGTTTGGTGTTCTTTTTTATGTTGTCAGCGAGAAAAAGTAACATGCTTAGTTACTTTTTCTTCACAGTGGCAAGTAAGACACTGGGTTACTTTTTGAGCGAGTAATGTGTAACTGTATTTAGGTACCGTATTTACTCGCATACTGAACGCACTAGCATAATGAATGCACCCTCCACAATGGGCATCAATATTTGGACTATTTGTTTTCTCGCGTAATAAACACACTTTTAATTTTCGGCTCCGCGAGTCTTGAAGCCAATTTTCTTTTGCTGCGAAGTGGCGGGGCCTAGTCAAGCCAAGCCAAGCGGTTTTCATAATGCCTGCAATTGCGTGGTTGTGGAAGTGATAAACCGTGAAACCAAGTGGCGCGCATGCCTAGCGAAGCTGGGGTCGAGGAATTGCCCAGCCCCGGACGTCTTGGTCCATCGGATGCATTGATGTCAACAAACACGCAGTCGTCTGTGATTTGCTTTCGGACAGTGATATTGTGAAAGTGGTTAGGCCTAAGAACGGTCACAATGCTCTCCATGCTGAGTGAGCTTCGTAGAGTGGTTTTTCTTCGGCAAAAGGCACGCCAAAAGTGCCCTAAAGAAGGTTTGCAATATATTGAGCATGGTTACTGTGGCGCGCCCCCGACCAGCCATGGGTGCGCCTCTATCAATGAAGACATGCCACAGTACCCTGCCATGTCATATTGGCACCTAAAATGACATTTGCACTAAGTGTGTAAATGCAAAACTTTTACCCCACGTAATGAACCCAAATATATGTAAATTTTTTGGGAAAAAAAGGTGTGTTCATTATGCGAGTAAATACGGTAGTTACTTTATTTCACTAATGTGTACATGTCTGCAAATGGCCATTTATAGGCAGGGGGGTGCGAGACTTAACAAATGGTGCAACGTGAAGACCTGAAAATATGGCACACAAACAAGTGATTCGTCGCGTGAGTCTCTGATTGAAAGGGGGCACTTGGATTTTCAGTGACGAGGACTACTATGCGAACGAGAAGGCCAAGCGGGAGGCGGAGATCCAGGAGTTGGAGCAGAAGAGAGAAGAGCTCAAGTCGAGGCTGCGGACTGCGAATCACCACTTCGAGCAGGTGAAGCAGTCCGAAATGGTCAACTCGCAGAACCTCCACCGCATACGGTTAGTCGGCTTTGCCTCGTTGCTTTTTTTAAATGCGTGGCGTTTATAGTGGCCGACAGAATTTAAAAAAAGGCATGCCAAAAAAAGGCATGCACAACCTGCGGCACACAACTCCGTATTCTTTGCCGCGCTGTGGCTGCACGCGCGCGCACTTGAGGTGTACGATTTGTTGAAGCGTCAAGGGACCTCATCGGCATTCGGAAAGGTATGCTGTGTTGTCGTCACGTGAACGCCGTGATTACGTAACGTTCGCACATGACATGTGATAATTGTCGCGGTCGTGTGATGTCATGGCATTATGTGACGGTCATCACGTGACACTGACGCGTCGCATGACGCTGACACCGTGATCTCGCATGACACGGATGTTTGGGTGTCGCATGACCTGCCCTAACGTTGCATAATGACGTACCTCTCCCTGACACGACTGCGATTAGTAAAGCCTTTCAAATAAAACTTTCTGAGTTCCACCTGTGTCCTGCAAGCAGTGTCGTTTTGTTGTTTGTGGTTTGAAAGTTGTAGGCCATGCAAGCTCGTTGCTCATTTTGGGATTCCTGTTTGGGAATAGCATGAAAACACGTGGCAAATTGCACCGTTTTATTTTTTCTTTGGCGTGCGAGAATTCCTGTGGGTGTCTGTGCAGGAGCGAAGAGATGGACCTGAGGGAGCAGCAGAATGCCGTGAGCGCTTCTATTCAGAACCTGAGGGCAAGCAAGAAGAACAGTCTGCAGAAGTTCGGCAGGCACATCCCAGCCCTGCTCGGCGAGATCGAGATCGCCGTGCGGAAAGGACACTTCCGCAAGCCTCCCAAGGGACCCCTAGGTCGGTCGGCTGCCTGCGCCTTTTCTTCGCTGTTTGTCGTTGCCTCGCTGCTTTTCGTGCTGCATCTTTCTTATTTTAGTGTGCTTCGCTTCGTGGGGATCTTTTATTAAAGGTGAAATTTCGGTAGTCACTGATTTGCCTACAGTAATATCCCAACAGATAACCCACCTAAAATAGAAAACGAATCGAAGGAAAATAAGGTTTGGACTAACTTTCAGTGTGTGATAAAACAATGTAGAAAAAATGCTAGTTTTAGATTTTGTGACCTGCTAAAACTTACGAAATGCACTAAAGACGACTGTCCTTCCCAGTCAGGAACGTTAGCTTATCTCCTGCCGTGGCTGAGTAACACCATTTTTGTCGAGGTTACCATTTTGCCAGGGCCCTGCAATTATTAGAAGTGGGCTATCTTTCGGTGTTCTTAAAGAAAAAGAGCAAATCGTGCCACACATAGGTGTGGGTTGTCTTTTGGGTGTGGGTCATCTCTCGAGATGTTAAGGTAGACACATCCGAACTAGTAACCTAAAGTACCAATTACAATAAGTTTTTTTTTTAAATTTTTTTTTTAGAAAGGTATTGAAATTTTGAAGTTTGTCTGAGAGGCTGAAATGCTCTACTGGCAACACTGAAAATATGATGTCAAATGTTGTAATAGGGGTGCTGTACAGCTTGACTTTGACGAGTTATAAGAACCTATACGCGCATGAAATTAACGGCAGAAAAATTTATGCCAGCAAAACAACAACAAAAAAAGTGCAGAGTACTTTGTTTTTCTTAGACTGCCTGCTTAACTTGCAAGTTACTTGACCTGCGACATCACCCCTCTAAAGAGCACGGGAAAATTTGAAGGTCGGTTTTGGCACCACATACCCTTCATTTGCTGTTTTCTCAATGGCCATTTTGAATATAGATATTATTGATAGCATCCCTATGAAGGGTCAAGCCTGGGTGTCCCCGAAGTGCGCTTAGTAGATAACTTTTGTCTCTGACAGGACGAGACCGGCAGGGCATCTTTTTCGAGCGCCTAGCCTTTAAAACGCGCTCATTTTCTTCTGCCATGTGTAGGCTCTGAGCGTGCGCTCGGAGCTCGCTAGACGTCAAAGTGCTATCAGAGGTGGGAGGGTCATGCCGGAGGCAGGACAACTGAAGCTCCTCCCTTCCGTTCTTATCCCGCCAGTAGGTTTAGTAGAGCTGATTCTTGGAGCTCGAAGCCCCTCAGTTCGGGTTTTTCGGTTGATTCTAATTGTCTGTGCCGTTTCTGCAATTGTACATACGATTGCGTGGTGATTTCAAAGGCTGACCTCTGGACCTGGTAGATTCAACATTTTAATTTGATGCTCTTTTTGTAGCGTGAGCTACACTGGTCGAGATTGAGCAGTTTCGCGTGGCTCGCATAATGAGCCGTGCTCCGTGCTGCGCAAGCGCGAGGAGCAGTGATGTCACACGGCGCACAGCTGGTGCGCCGGAGACGTCTCTGCCGCGGGCTCTGTTGCTACCGTGCTTGCCTCGCCGGTCTGCGCAAGCCAAGGAGCAGTGACGTCACATGGCGCACAGCTGGCGCGCCAAAGCCGCCGCTGCCGCCACCGCGCACGCCTCGCCAGTCTTCGCTTTCTAGAGTGATGTCATAGCCGCGACAGACACAAGCAGACACCGAGGGAAGCTATACAGATGCTAGTTTACGCCCGTGGAGTGTACATGCTGGAACGCTAGAACGCCGCTTCACGTCACCATTAAATGGTCGCGTCTCGCGGACGCTATCGGAAGCGCTTCTTTTGTGATCGCGTCTGACCGAGAGAAACAGACCTATAGCATGGAGATGGGACGCTATCGGAAGCGCTTCTTTTGTGATCGCGTCTGACCGAGAGAAACAGACCTATATCCATGGAGATGGAGAGCGAAATTGCTCCTCAGCGGCGCAGAAGCGCAGTGAAGCTTAACTTGGATCCCGAAGTAGTTGCCCGGCAATTAGTGGTTGAGCGTAGGAAGACCGAACAGAAGGCTAAACGTGCTGTGGAGACATCGGAGCAAAGGGAGGAACGTCTAGCAAAGCGGCATCGCCAGGAGGCTGAGTGACGTGCCCGACCATCTTACCAGCAGCAACAACAAGACGCCGTCGATGACGTCAAGGCTCGCCGATTGACTGACTATAAGGTGAAACTTATCGAAAGCGCCAGTGCGACTTCGGACCTTCGAAAAGGACTTCGTAAACAATCCGTGTGGATATGTGTGCTACGTGTGTGAAAGACTGTGGCACATGAAAGACTTGATGCCGGTAAGTAGTTCCATGCGTGAAACGTTGAGTTTAACGGCGCCGCCTGAGTGGGGTGAAACCGTGGTGCGGGTTTGTACAACGTGCAAGAACTTTCTCATTAAGCAGAAGATTCCACTCTTTAGCGTTACCAGTGGGTATCGTTACCCGTCCATGCCACCAGGTCTACCGGTTCTAAACGATGTGACCGAACGTGCCAGTGTTCCATCTGTACAGACAACCCAGTGGCGAACCACCATTGATATTGTGTATCAGAGACAGACAATCGATTCCAAATACTGCGTGGGGTCACAGAGACTGCAGCATGTTACTACACTGACCACCGAGCCGTATTTGTGGCAATAAAGAAGAAACCAGACGTTGAGTAAAAAAATAAATATATACATGTGCCACATAATGCGCATACCGTATGTGTGTCATTGAAGCAGCAGTAAGCATGTTAATCAAGCTAATCCTAGACAACCAGGAAAGCTAAGAATAACCAGCTGACCCTAAGCTCACGCTACGTATATCCTGGCATGGCCGAGCTAGGCCACTGCAATTTTGTTTTTGGGGAGGGGAGGGGGAGAGGAAGGGGAGATAGGGAGGGAGGGGGGTTAGGGGTGGGGGCTTGTGAGTTTGAGGTTTTGAGGACGCTTGGCGAAGTTAGCTTACCTACGATTCGAAGCGACGATTGCACCGACAACTCCATGTCATTCGACGGATTTGCCCTTTGAGTTCCGCTTTGCTGCAGCCACGGTGGCACTGCTTAGACGATTATTTGCGTCGTCTCCTAACAATTTGGGTTTGAGTCGCAAAAGTTAAATTACTGCGTTAACTCCCGATATTTGTGTATGTTTTCCGACTCTTAATGTTAGGTATGTTTTCACAGAGTGTGTTTACGATGCGAGACTTTCACACTCTCGTAATGTCTCGAGAGGTGACCCACCCTCAAAAATTGAGACCCCCTATTTTCGGCGCGATTTACTATTTTTTTGAGAACACAGAAAGATAGCCTGCTTTTTGTGATTGCAGTGCCATGGTCAATGGCACTTGGCCGAAGCGGGGTTAGTTAGCTGTGGCGGGAGGCGAGCAAGCTTTGCTGACTGGGGGGGACTATGATCTACACCTTATCGCCTCCGCAAGGCGATAACAAGTATAATAGATTATGGAATACAAAAATAGTATTTTTTTAGTTTTTTCTTGATTGCTCACGAAAAGTTAGTTCACTCTTCATTTTCACCTTATTTTCTCTCAATTGTAGGTGGCCATATCTCGGGATGCTACAGTAGTATGATCATGGCGATCAACTTGAAGGGAAACACAAGAGTGAAATCGCGATTTCTGTGGAAAAAATGGCTTTTCTCATTTTTATTTGTTGGGGTCAAGCAACTAATAATGCACTCTTTCCTAAAGTCTTATAGCCATACGTGCATTATTTACAGAAAAAAAAAAAGAACACTTAGGAAAACATGCCCACGGCGATCAAGCGAAAGATTGTGCTGCTTACGGAAATGGGCTCCGACAATTTCCCAACAGGATAGACAGCTGTCACCGTAGATCCATTAGATGGGTATCGCTCGATTGATGTTCCCGCGATCAAGAACTTGGTATACTGTCTTCTGTGCCCATATTGCTTCTAGCCAGACCTCAAGTTTACAGTGTGCAACAAAGGAGTGCTCCTTCAGTTTGTTACGGAATGCCCACGCTGTGCGGACATTGTGGACTTTTCACATTCGTCAACAATCGAGGATACTAGACAAAATGAGCTAGTCATACGTATCGTTCCGAGTTTCCGGGAGTGTGGTATCGGCCACACTAAACTGACAAACTTCTTCGCGCGTACGAATATGCCACGACCAATCCACCTCAAGTCATTTCAAGAGTTTGCCGTCAGAGTCCATGACGTGTTGATGTTGGCGGCAACTGCTTCTACAAAGCAAGCAGCGCAAGTGATGGGAACCCGTTCCAGCCCAGCAAATGGCGAACATTTTCTAGACGTGTGTGTGGCCTTCAACAAAATGGAGCGTAAGCGCGGCCATACCTTGCATTTCGGCGTTAGTGTGGCGATAGAACTGGAGACTGGACTTGTGCTGGGTTTTGCTGTCATCAGCAGGTTACTGCCGCAAGTGTTCGCTCGGCCCAAGAGAGGAGTCTGACGAGTATGAGGCGTGGCTTGAAAAGCATCGGCTGACAAAAACTTCGGTGGATGAGCAAATGCCACGGAAGTTAAGTCTGTAGCCAAGATCTTCAGTCGCTCCATCACACAACAGGGCCTGCAGTACACAAGAGCCTCTTGCAACAGTGATTGAAAGTCAAACACCATTGTTGCTGCCCTGGACCTCTTATGATTCACAAATCCACAAGGACTGGGTGAATCGTGTAGCTAAGCGGATGTACGCCGCCTTGGATACCCTAAATAAAGCCACAAAAGGGCGGGGAGGCAAGGGGAAGCTTACCAATGCGGTTATGAAGAAACTTGCCGACTACTGTGCATGTGCACTCAAGGAGATCGTCCCAGACCTCAGGTGCACGCAACGAGGAGTGATGGCGAGACTCGTGCTCTCATACTCAACAGACGAGGAGCCAAGGTACATGGCATGCCCAAAGGGGGAATGGTCTTTGTGTCATTTTAATAGTCACCTGGCCCTGAAGGCAGCAGGGAAGCTGTCCCAGCAAAAGCCTCGCTGTCCAGCCTCCCCAGAGAGGTGACCAAGCAGCTGGTGCCCATCTGCAATCGCCTCACACACAAGGACCTGCAGCTAAGGTGTTCCAGAATGAAAACACAAAACACAAATGAATCGTTCAATGCCCTAATCTGGAAGCGCTGCCCGAAGACCTAGTTTGTGTGTCAAAGAACAGTGGGGGCATCGCTTGCACTGGCAGTGCTAGGGTTCAACTTGTGGACCAAGGGTTTCGGGGAGGTGCTCGCAAGAACTTTTTGAACCTGGCTCGCAATGTCTTGCATCGATGTCTCAGGTTCTTTTTTTTTTGTGTGTGTGTGTATGTGTTTAGCTTGTACCTCGCCTACCTGCCTGGCAAGCACGTGCCACTGGACTGTTTTGTCGTATGCTGGACAGTTACATTTTGCATACAATTTTAGGAACCAGTTGGCGACGGAGCGGAGTGGCATGGTTTCGATCGAACAGCCATCTCCGCTCACGCTATAATTTTGCATTGCACTGCAGTAGTTACGTGTTTCATCAGTCGGAGACTGCTTCCATTTATTATATAACTATAGTCAATCTAATGCTGTGCTATTTACTTTTAAGCTGGTCATTTTCAAATAAACTTTAGTATGTGCTGTTTGGTTCTTATTTACCTATAGCGGGTACATATAAATATACCATTTAACTGAAGCATTGCAAAATCTGTAATGTCATTGGCATTTCAGTTACATGTTGAAAAACTCCCAGGTGGTCTAAATTGACTATAATTTGTTTATTGCGGCGAGCATAGTGTCCTCCGTTTGTCCAGCACTTGAATTAAATATTTTAATTTTTCTAAGAATATCTGCTCCAAAAGCAACTTTTGCTGCTCCAAAACACTGTTTAAGCTGCTCCAAAAGCTACCATTGCTGCTCCAAAACACTGTTTTGGCTGCTCCGAAAGATGCTCCAAAACGGCTTAGGCCAATCACATCACTGCAAAAAGCCAAGTTTATAGCATCAAAAATAGATAGCCCCCCCCTCCCCCCCCCCCCCTCCATATGTCCTGGTTGAGGCTCAAGCATAGATGTGCTAAATATTGTTCAACAATTTGGTATGACAGATTTCCTAACAAACAGTGGTGACTCTACCGGGAGCAGACACCTCTCTTTGTAGCTCCTCATAAAGTAGTCCTATGGAGGTGAAAGTTCAAAAAGTGCTACTAGAGACAGTGGTGGGACACCCTCCAAATTCCATAAAAATCATATTTAGGGTGGTGTGTCCCCTTGAACAGCGTTGATGTGCCTCGGCTGCTGTACTGAGTGGGGTGTGTTTGCCAGGCTCCTTGCTGAAGCTGAAGGACCAGCGCTGGGACCTGGCGACAGAGAGCTGCCTCAAGAGTCTGCTGTACACCTTTCTCGTGGACAACGACCAAGACGCCAAGCTTCTGTTCCAGCTGATGGCCAAGGTCATGGGCAGGGACAAGAAGCCATCCATCGTGACGAGCTCCTACCTGGGAAAGGTGAGGGACGGGAGCCTCCTGTGCAAAATCTTTTGCTTTCAGCCGAGTTTGCAGATGTCTCGACCGAATCCCGATGGTGTCCTCGACGGGGGGACCGGCAACCGAGTGTGTAAACGCATCGCGGCTCGGAACGTGTGAAGTGAAAGCTCGCGCTGCAGAATTTGGGGATCTATGGGCTCAGTCCCCACCCTTACCAGTTCCGATCCAGACGAGAATCGTACCGGTGTGCGGTCGTGTATCACTACTGTGTGATGCACGTTAAGACTCCTAGCCAGCAGTGGTACTGCACTTGCTGAATTTCTCATCTAATAGCGGAGGCACCAGACGCCCATTGGGGCTGACTAACTTCCTGCTGAAAAAACTTTCACACAGCACGAGTACCTTTTATGCCCCCGTATGTTCCCGGTAGAGTTTCTATAGAACGAGAAAAGTAGGGAAATTGAGGAGGGATGAATGGGGAAATTCTAGTTTGTTGGGGAATGTGACTTAGAAACGACCAAAACAAAGGGAATACCTGAAACTGGTCTTATTGTACGTAGTGAAAGAAAAATTGCATGACCAGTGATCAGAAAACCCGAAAATTCAATCGTTTAAACCGGTCATCATTGTATCTGGATTAGACTCTGAGCGTTTCTAGTCTAGAAAGTGATCGTTATAAGCAGGACATCGTAATATGTGGTATCGTTATAAGTGGATTGCACTGTAAAGGCATTTGACTAAATCTAAAAAAGGTTTATTTGCTGCTTTTTATTATTACTGGTGTCACTTTCTACTTTTCTGCTTAACATTTTGTTGTCCTCTTTTTTGCTTTTGTTGCAGACATACAACTACCATACAAAGTGTATGAGGTCCTCGAAATTCATCAGCGTTTTGGAGAACCTTGACATCCAAGATCCAGATGTCATCAACACCCTGATTGATCAGGCGAGTAACCGATCAGCGAGAAGTTGATTGGTCCCTGCCAGTCAGCCACTGACAGTCTCTTGAGATTACCACTAACCGAGAGTGACGGCTTGGCGACTACCCGAGAATGTTTGAGCGGAAGTTCATTAATGCTGTTACGAGAAGGCTGACAAACCGCCGTGAGAGCAGCATGGTACCTGCCAAGTTGTATTGTATACAGTCGTGACTCGTTAAATCGGACCCCGTTAGAATGGACGGGCCGCCACGTAGATAACGCATTTTCGGGACAGCTCACATTATGGACGCTTTTCGGGGGATTGCAGATGTCTGAGTTAGCGAGACATTGCTGTACACGGATTCGTAATCTGTGAGATGTACGGATCGCCCGTAGAATGTGTACGGACAGACCATTTCGACGTGCCATCCGACCGACGGAGACCCGTGCAACTATGGTGCCTGGAACGTTTTTCCGACTGGCGTCTTTACCTCGATTTGATAAGTGGCCCCTCGATTTCCGCCCGACGACGTAACAGACGTGTTGTGGTGTCGTCAGTCGTGGTCCAGTCGGTGCTGTGGCAGGGCGGTGGACGTGGTGAACGTCTGTTTGGAGGTCACTCTTCCACATGCTTTTGGCGTGTGAGCGGTACATAGGTGCCGAAGACACCAGGCGGAGCACGCGCTCCAAGCAGCGGGGTAGAACATGGGGACCGTCCCAAAGAATGGACGGACTCTTACCCAGACTTGTACGGTACTCGTTATGAGCGGTCGTGTCGCTCGTAATCGATTAGTTTTTGGAGTGATTTTTATTGATTCGGTTACTTTTATTGGGAAGTAATTGCGAGAGTAACCTGATTACTTTTGGAAGTACTGCAATTACTCCTAACCGTTACTATCTTTCCCTCCCCTTTCAAATGGCACCCTTTCTTTCTACAAGTTTTCGACCAAGAAATCCCTCGAACCGAGTCTCCGACAGGAGGATGGTTTACGAAAATTAATGATGGAAGAAGATGAGCAATTGGTGATTCGGTTATTTTCGTTTAATAATGGACAGTACGAAAGACCCGTTTTCAGTCCGGCAGAAAAATCTGTCGTTTCGGAAACCCGAAGTAGTCGGCAAAGTAACGGTTACCATTTCATGTAACGACCAGTTACGTTTCTTCTCGAGCGTTTGAGTCATCTATTTGAATACTTTTTTTTTTAATGTATCGGGTGACCCAAGTCACCAGCTTGGGTCTAAAATGGACCGTAAAAATCGACTCCTGCAGGTACCAATCTAAACTTTTCGCCAAAGCTGTATTTCACTGGTTAGTTTTTCCATGTAAAATTACAAAGCGTAGCTCTCTTTCTGTAAAAAATAAGGCCAAGAAACTTGCCTCGGTCCACGGCGGGCGGCGACGTAGACAACCAAGTCGAGTAGAGGGGTGCGTTTGCCGTGTGTATTGACAGATGGCATTGGAGAGCAGCGTATGAATGTGTAGCCGACGAGTGAAAGAAAGCAGACGACATGCAGACAAAATCTGTTGGCAACAAAAGCGCTGTATTGTTGTGCAAATGTGTTTTCTTTTATTTTTGTTACTTGAAGTTTTGCTATCATTGTCTGCATTTATTTTTAAGCCAGAGGTAGATTACAAAAAGATTATGTTCGTAAAAATAGACCGCGGTCGACACGGGCACCTTCAATAGTTCTTTAAAAGCAAGCCGGAACAAGGAGGTAGCATCATCTATCAATACGAGCGCCAAACACACCCCGCTACTCGACTTGGTCGTCTGCATCGCTGCCCGCTGTTGACCCAGGCAAGTTTCTTGCCCTTTTTTTTTACAGAAAGAGAGCTATGCTTTGTAATTTTACAAGAAAAAAACTACCTGTGAAATACTCCTTCGACGAAAAGTTGAAATTGTTATGTGCAGGCGTTGATTTTTACGGCATATTTTAGATCGAGCCAGGTGACTTGGGTCACCCTATATAGTAATTGTGATTGATTACTATACCGTTCAGAACGGTTGTCCAACCGAGGGAAAAGAGCTCGCAGAAAATAGTGTCTGCGTGAAATCCTTCGTTCAGTTAGCCACGCGGAAGGAACATGTTTGTCGATTTCTGCTCGCAGAGAATGGTGGAGAAGGTGGCGCTGATTGAGAGCAACGAGGAGGCAAGGAACGCGTTGATGAGGGTCTCGTCGGTGCCGACCAACTGTTCGGAGGCGTTCACGGCCAAGGGCGACCAGCTTTACCCTGCGCCAAACTTCCGCTACTACTCTTCGAACCAGCAACGTGCCGAGCTCCTCAAAGCTGGCGTGGAGGACCAGATCACGTGAGTGGGGCTTATCTCCTAAGTCCGGTTTACACATTGGCGTACAAGCGCAATCGAGTGTGCTGCGCTCGCTCCTAGTTTATGAGCGAGCGCTCATAAACTTTTCACTTTACTAGGCGTAAAGTGAAAAGGTTAAAATTCCTTTACATGATTCTTAATGATTATCTACAGATAGACAAGACAGCTTACTTAATTCCCGATGCATCTAGAATTACACGTAACAAACATAGTCGGGCCCTTCACCAACCCTGCTGCTTCAAAGACTGTTTTAAGTATTCTTTTTTTCCCTTAACGATAAGCGAGTGGAACTCTCTCCCAGAACAAGCAGTATCGTGTCAATCGCTGGAATCTTTTTGTTCTTATCTTGCATTTGATGACGTGGGCAGCAATCCTTGAAATTGCATGTTTATTTAATTACTTTTCTCTTTTTGTCGCGTCATGATTTCCTGCCAGCGTCATTCTTCCACTGTTGTATTGATTTTACATTTTTTCCCAGCGCCGATTGATTCTTCTGCAATATATTTTTAGGACGGGTTTGCAACAAATGCAGTTGTCAAGTTTTTGTTGTGTTCTTTTTATTTTTTCCTTCAGTGCTTATAAAGTTTTTTGTTCATGTCCTCCCTATCATAGTCCCATGTAGGGACTGTTAGTATTTTGAAATAAAAATAAATAAATAAAAAACGACGAGGGAAGACACTGCACCAACGGTAGCCAGCAGAGCACGTGAGTGGCTGTCTGGACCCATGCCGGGGGAAGCTTTCCACTCAGGAAAAGAATGTTCCAAAGCGGACCGGAACCTGAGAAAAATTTCAACTTCCAGTACCGCCAATGCTGTGATTACAAAAAAACTTTCAGCCTTTCCACTCTGGTGAAGAAGGAAGACCAGCAAAGTTGTACTATTTTGGGAATGAAGTAATGGCTGGCCGCAAGTCGGCAATCCAGAATAGAAAGGCTCGGAAGGTTGCCACCATCTGTGAGCGACGGCGGCAACCAGACAACCGGCAAGCCGGCTGTCTGGTTGCCACTGTTGCTCTTAGGTGGCAGTAGCTGTCCAGAGTTCTGAATCATCAAGTCATTTGAGGAAACTAGCCCTTCTTAACCCGGCTGTAAAAATGTGTCATGTTTGGACAGCCCTTTACAATGACTAAAGTTTGGTTCACAAACTTGCGACTGTTTACGACCGAGTCCCTGGCAACCTCTTGTGATCTCTTATGATGAGAGAATACACTAGCACCACCTATCGGGTAGCTGTGGAACGTTTGGCTGCCACATATATTTTCTGTTCTTAGAGAGTGGTAGCTGTGAGTGCCCTTTCCCGGTAAGAAATGCTTGTGTACGAATGCAAAACTTCACTCTACAGCACAAGTGCCGCTCTATCTCTCTCCTTGTTGTTCTTCACACATGGCAAGGCTCTCTTGCTCCCCCCCCCCTCTGTAGGCCGCCGCTGTTTTAAAAAAAACCACGCGGTTGAGGGGAGAATGCTCTCCCTTCCTCCCACAATCCCCCCGGCAGCTGGCGTTGCGAAATACCCGCATGGTGGCGCCGTGCGGACACACTCTTTTGCCTTCCCACCGCCGGCGCCAGGTTCTGTTCACATGCAGTCTCTGCGGCTCTGCAGAACAGCTCGCGTGCATACTTTCGCTTCGTCTACCACAAGCCGGTCACGGGGGGGGGCCCAGTGACCAGCTTGGCGCGGTCATGGGCGCCCTTATTCTAAAAGGGTGTTTCAGCCAAGATAAACAAGCGTGTCTCTGCGTCCTTCTCCAACACGTGCAATGCAGTGGTGCGATTGCTACACCAATTGCGCCAAACTGCGCCAAGGGCTAACCCTGCTACGTCCTGCTACATTTTTGCCAAAATATGGGTAATCTGCACCAAGCCTGTGCCAAAAAACCAATTTCGGTTGCCTTTCAAAACAGAAACTAAGTCGAGTATACTGTAATTGAGCATGCATGTGTTATGTGGCACAAGTGGCCTCCCGACACAAAGTGCCCTGACTCAATTGTCCGTCTGGTCTTGCATGGTTTTCCCGCCATCTCACGTTTTGCGCTCTCGTCTCACGTCTTTTTTTTAAAATATTTTCAGTGATAGACGTGGGTGTGCACAGACGCTCCGACGCTAGCGTGCTAGGTATCATGCCGTCATGCTGTGAAACGAAACCATGTCTTTGCACCGTGAGTGTTACTTTGTGAGCTGAAGCACTCACTCCTGAAAGCAACAGCCACGGGAAAACTATATTTGGTCCCTGCCTTCCAGTCACCGTGGTCACGCGATGTCAGGCGTTGCCGTCTCCACGTTGCGGCAGATATGGCGGTTTCTAAAATGAAACTAAGTACCGCAGCATGTTCGTCAACATTCCTGTTCTTGTTTAAATCATACGTTACTATAAAAGTCCCTCTTTAAGGGGGGGGTGCAACGATTTCAGGACTTCAGTCAAAGGTTTCTGGAAGTTGCCCTCTGACTCTTCTGAAGTAAAGAACAGAAAACGGATTTTGCCTGCGTGTTCTAGTTCTTGGGTAAAAAAAGATAAATATTGGCATTTCAGGCACCCCTCAACTCACTCCCAGCCTTCAGAGTCACACCTGGTCCCCCTCCCTGTGATGTCATTCGGAGTGGTGTGTAGGTTCCCGTGTGCTATCTCGGAGGACGCTTCCCCTCCCTCTCTCTGCTGACATTAGCGGGCGTTAGGCTGCAGCTTAGAGCCGAGCAAGGTCACGTAATCTTTTCGCTGTAGTTCCTTCGGCTGCGACTTGGGGCTGCAGGTGGGAAAAAAGCTAGACTTTTGCTTTGCGATTATGCAGCGGAATCGCAACATTTTAATGAAGGAGGTGTTTTCTCTATCCTCCGGGACACAATGAACAACTTAAAAATTACGAGATGCAAATTCTTTTAATCATTAAATTGTTGCACCGCCCCTTTAACTCAAAGACTGCTGTGTCGGAGTATTGATTACCTAGGTTTTTCTCAGTGGGCCTTTTTTTTGAGAGGGACCCCGGTACATGAAAAATCTGCCGCGAAAGTTGGTGAAGAGAAGTGATCTAAAACAAAGGCAATGTATGCTTTTGCTGAACCCGCACTGTGCGCTTGTTTGTCTCAAGTTCAGTCGTTGCTCAAAGCGTTCCAAGAACTTTTTGACCCTGGCTCGCAAAGTCTTGCATCAATACGCTCAAGTTCTTCTATTTATTTATTTTTTTTGTTCAGCTTGTACTTTGTTTGCCGTAAAGCCCTTTTATCCTGGAAAGAGTGGCGCCATTCATTGTTGTGGAAATGCTCGACACGTGCCGCGTGCCACTTCTGGGAAAAACATGGCGTCTGAAATCCAGCTCAGTGCTGCGCTGTACCGCCATGATCTTTCCAAAGGCTGCACGTTGCACTTGCATCGACGCACCTTGCGCTACTTTTGAAAAATGAAGGGGCTTTAGTTGGCCGGCTTGGCAAGCACAAGCCGCTGGACTATTTTTTGTCGTATGCTCGACAGTTACATTCTGCATACAAATTTGGGAATCAGTTGGTGACGGAGTGGAGGGGCATGGTTTCGGTTTTGATTGAACAGCCGTTGTCTCCGCTCGTGTGACGAAACGTGCGCAACTGCAAGCCTGCCGAAGTTATCCTTTTAGTGCATATGGACATGATTGCACGACAGAGGCGCCAGCCGGGCCGCTTGCAGTTTATTGCTTCACATTTATTTACTTTTGACGAAAATCTGGCACGTCGGGAACTAGTAAACCTCTGGAAAGCGGTTTTTCGGAATTGCTCGGCAATGCCTCCAGCACTGTACACTTGTAGGATGTCTCAGCAGTAAAACTGCAAGCAGCGAGTTCTGTCACAACAAGTCACATTGTTAGTACTGCACTTAAAACAGATATTTTAATTTTTCTAAGAATATCTGCTCCAGAAGCCACTTTTGCTGCTCTGAAACATTGTCTTGGCTGCTCCAAAAGCCACTTTTGCTGCTTCAAAACACGATTTTCGCTGCTCCAAAAGGTGCTCCAAAATGGCTTAGGCCAATCACATCACTGGCAATGTCTCGCACAATCATTCCACCAACGCACACATCTCTTCGCATGCGTCTCCTTTATCACTTTCACTGAAAGCAAAGAACCCATTGCAAATGTGCAGCAGACTGGCTGAAGGCAAATCTCCTTCAACATGCCTCCCCACAATGCAGCAGCTACCGCTGTCAATTGGAGCACACTTCATATGGTCGTTAGCAATTTTGTTTTTGAGCACCGTCCTTTCTTTATTGGCTCGAAAAACTTTTGGCAATGTTATAAATGACCACTAAAAAGACCATAAATGACCATGTTATAAATACATTTGACCTCACAAATGCACTGCAAAACCTCTGCTCTATTAATATGCTGTTCCAGGGGCCCCTCATGTATGTGGTATCGTAATGCGGAGAGCAAGTCGTCTGGTTCTGGTATAGGAGTGGCGGTAATGTCCGAATGACGCCGAGTTCTGATTGGCTGTGATTGAAAGGATAGTGGGAAGACCTAAATGCTAGATGTCTTGAGGTCTGCTCGAAGTTTTTTTTTTTTTTCAATCATCCACTAAGAGCTTGGCGTTCTGACGTCTTTGAACCCCTGTGCAAAAAGCAAACAAACTTGCGCTCCGCATAAGTGGATTGCAATGTACCTATATTCACGTCCGACGCGTTATGCAGGGAGAAGACGGCAGAGCTGAAGCAGATCGAGATGCGGATGCAGGAGCTGAAGACGGAGGCGGCCACATTCAACGAGAGCCTGATGCAGAGTCGGAAGGAGAGCTGCCTCCTGAGCAAGCAGCTGGATGCCATGAAGCGCGAAGACGTGGAGCTGCGGTCCAAGATCCAGGAGCTCCAGCGTATCGAAGACCCCGAGCCCACCAACGTCACCACCCTGGTGGGTTCGACTTGGGGGGTTGGGTTGGAGGGCCTCTGTAGGGGCATTTGTGTGTGCCCAAACTCGGCGTCGGCCATTCTGCGCCGCGTTGTCGAGGCTAGCGTGGCTTCTGCGGTGCTCCAATGCTGCCAAAGCTTGGCGCATGAGCATGTGGCTTTGTTCAGCATCTCCTTTGGTTGAGTATACTTGCAAGTGAGATGTGCACATGCAAGTGAGATCTGCACATACAAGCGGACAAAAGAGCTTCAAAATGAAAATACACATTTGAGTGTAATTATACATTAATTTTTTTCTGTGTGTGTGTGTGGGAAGGGGGGGGCTGGCTGGCTGGCTGGCTGGCTGGCTGGCTGGCTGGTTGGTTGGTTGGTTGGCTGGGCATAAGTGTCCCATCCATGGAGTTTAGTTCAAAGGGCTACTCCAGTCAATTCCAAGAGGTTTGAGTTAATGGTTGAATATATATCCCAAGGTATTAACAAACAGTTCTTTCCATTTAAAACTTACCACAAACCGAAACCTTGCCTGCGGCGGGCAACATTGCTCCTGTGTCATAACCTCCACGCTCTTACCGTATGGTACAAATTGTGATGTCACGTACCGGGTGGCCGAGCACAGATCGGTGCGAGGGTGAAAATGTCGTCCGCTACAATAGGCAGTCCGCTACACCCGACACACGCCTGCACTACCGCGGCCAGAGCCTGCGTTTTGGCACAAAAAAAGGCATATTTTTCCCTAGGGCTTATTTTGAACATATTAGTGGAAGGTTAAATTCGGAAAAACCACACATACATGTCGCTGCGGGTTTCTAAAAGTGTGTCGTACTCAACGTTGCAAACTCGCGCTTTAACACACAATTCTGCCGATGATGACGCACGAGAACACACAAGCGCCCACGCGTTCAGCGAATCACATGACCAACAATGAGTATGCTGCTAGCGTTGCCTGTTGGCTATGCTTGAAAGAAGACAAAACAAGCGAACACATCTCTGTGAGCTGCCCTGAGCATGACGTAGGTATCACAGGGTGGGCTGTGCCAACATGGTAGCATTGACTGCGTTGTTGGGTGTGCTCACCTTGCCTGCTAGAATTAGCAGATTTGCGCAATTTCATGCTCTTCAAACTTTGTTGGTCAGTTTCGTTGAATTTCAGGTGGCATTAGATCAAGGTAGGTGGCGTGTGATCTCTTTAGGCGACACTAAAAAGAACTGCATTGTTTTCTTATTGTTGAAAACGAACCGGAGCTGCCCATTAAAACCAAAAATGGGGGGCGGGCGGGCATGCAGCGGTGCAGTGTCCCCGAGGGCATTCATATGTGTTTGGGGATAGGTATGTTTGAACGAACATGACAATTTATTGAAAATTGTTTCAGGTTGAGTCTTTTCGCAAGTGAGCTCATATGACTTCTTAATTCTAGGAGGAGGCGTTGAGCGACCTGGAGGAGGAGACCAATAGCCTGGAATCCAGGTTGGCGTCGACCAAGCAGGAGCAGGCCGAGATCAAGACGGAGCTCAAGGCCCTCGCAACCAAGCTGCGAGAAGTGGAAGAGACTCGCAAGCGTCTCATGGAAGAGTCCAACGTCGCCAAGGTGAGAGCCCCGCCCTTTGAAACATGAGTTCTTAAAGAGAAGCTGAAGAGGTTCTTGAAAAAAAAATATTGTAGAGCCCTTCCAGCTTACGTGAAGATGGATAACCAGCGAAGCTGTTAATTTTACAACGTCTAGGACAATGCCTAGAGGACGCCCTCAAGGACGCCCTCCAGGACGACTTCGAGGACGATGTCTAGGGCAACCTCTTGGACGACCTCAAGGATGACTTCTAGAAATTATACAAATCAAAAAGTGTTAAAAAAAAAAAATGGAATTTCAAGTCGAAGCATTTGTTTCTCGACCTGCACCTCCCGACTTCACACTATCAATGTGACAGTCGTTTTCTCCGTTACCTGTTTTGCAGACCAAGCTCCTTGAAGCAGACGCAGAATTCCAGAAGGTGAAGAGCAACCGGAAAAGCTACGACGACCGCATCGCGACCATTGAAGAGCGCAAGTCTGCCATCGAGACGCAGATCAAGGTCACTGGCAAGAACATTGTGGTGAGTGGTGTGAGGAGAAAAGTGCACTATAGGCTAAGCACGGGTAGAGTGAAGACTTGGCAGAAAAATGTCTTTTTTCCTGGTAAGGTTTTTTTTTGGAGGGGGGGGGGGGGTGGAAGGGGGGGAAAGGTGGGGGAGTGCATGGCGTCTGCAGTTGAGACACTTTGCAAAAAACTCTAAAACAATTGGTATTTTTTATGAGTTTTCTAAGTAAGATTCCAATACATGTTTCTGTTTCGTGCTGAGATGTCGAAATATCAAAATTGTTCCAAACTCAAATTGAGTGTGACACATAAATGTTGTGCTAATTTTTTGGGTGTTTGGGAGAAATTGTATTTTGTAATATACGGGCCCCTTAAAACGGCGTTCGAGGTGTTTACCCGAGGATTTGCTCTTGAACGTGGGCGCTTTGTTTCTTGGCACGCCTCGTAGAAACTGACGGAGAAGGCAATGGCTCAGTCCCGAGAGCGCCTGCTGACGAGGAGAAAGGCCAACGTCATTGAGGCCGACATTCAGGCCCTTGAGGCACAGTTGCAGGAGGAAGAACTCAGGTTGGTCTCGGCGGGAAGTTGGGCTTACTGCTGCTTTTTTGTTTCTTTTAGCTTCTTATAAGGCATAGTCTTTACATGACCAGACTCGGATTTTGTGTTTCTGGCGCGCAGCCTCGATGACGTCAGTGTCACGTCACAGCCTGACGTCAGGTGAAACCGACCTCGCATGATACTGTGACGTCGTGCCACTTTACGACAACATGTGTAACCGTGATGTCTCGTGTCGTGACGGCATTACAAAGCCATGATGTCTCGTGTCATGATGGCTAAATGACGTCACGTGGCATTACGAAGCCATGATGTCTCGTGTCATGATGGCACAATGACATCGCATGACATCGTGAAGCCATGATGTCTCGCTTCATGATGGGACTGACTTCGTGAAGTCATGATGTCTCGTGTCATGACACAATGACGTCGCGTGACATCGTGATGTGACACAGACGTCGCATGCACCATAATATCACGTGACACTGTGACGGCTTTATATGATTTTGTGTGTACACGCAAAGCAAGCTGCCTCTGTCTTTGCTTGCCATTCGAACACTTTTGAACAGTGAGCAAAGACAAAGGCTTTGAATGTACCCATTAACCATTCCAACCAGAACTCGCTGCTCCGATGTCCCCGCACACGTTCATCTCCTCCTTCCCCTCAGTTTCTCTCCTTATAACCAAAGGAAATTAAAGGAAAAAAAATGGCACAGACGATTACGGAATTTGATACGAAGGGACAGTGTCAGCTGGTGCCTACAGATTGGTGATGTTCTTTCTCGCAGACGCGTTTATGCCGCAGAACAGCCTCGGCTTGCTCCAATGTATGCTTCTGCCGCCCCATCCTCGTGCAAAAGGCTTAGAGCGCTGGGCGGATCGTTCACGAGATCCAATTGAGGCAGACCCTCTGCTATTGGCGGAAACGCCTATCTGTAGCACGTGGCGAGATTCAAGATCTTGCCAGCACGAACACTGCATAGGCGCATAGCATAGGCCTTGAAGGCAGACGGCTCACTCTCTGGCTACGATGACTAAAGAACTTTGTGGCAAGCCTTCGGCATAGACACCAGGTCTCGGCTAAACCACAATCGATCGCACACAGAACGGCTCACGCGTTCCATCCCAGCAACCAGGGTGAGACCAGGGGGTGAGCGAACGGGCGACCAAAAACGAGAAAGAGCACGTGGCGGCACAAAGCCAATTGCAACGAACGCTCACGCGCCCTGTACGGAGCTTGATGTACAGGCTTGACCTGTACATCAAGCTCCGCACGGCCGACGCTTTTAAACTGTAAGGTCCGCCACGAGCCCCAAAAAATGCTGCGGAAGAAAACATTCCGCGTACATTGACCGTATCCGTAGGATTGAGCACATCTTTTTCAAAATATATCTTCCGTTGCTTTTAGGACTGGGGACAGGGAGGAGATAACTCGGCAGTACACCGAATCCAAGGCCAAGTACAACAAGATCAAGAAGGGCATCGATGAACTCCGCGAGTTCCTCAAGGTACTGCCATAGCCGCCGATAAGATGAGAACAGCATTTCTGTCGGATACCTGGTTTCCAGCATGCATTCGTTGCCTTCCACCATGCTTTGGTTGCGTGTTCTCGCTTGAAGATAACGAGTTGCTGAGGTGTTTTGATGGAAGAAAGCTCGTGCTGGATCTGGAACAACTGAGACCCCTCGCTGCAGTTTTCATCTCTTCAGTGAATGATGGAACGGTGTGCGTCGAACAAGGATGTTTGTTATACTGTAGCCTAGGAAAAAGAAATTACTTTAACTGGTGCGATGTGTAGCAGAATTGCATCGCAGTGGGCTTCGTTAAGTTGGGTTATATGATTTTAGAGCTGGTTCTATGTGGTTTATGTTTACTACTAGAAAGCCCGTGTGACAACAGGTTCCATGTGACATTTTTAGTGTTTGTTTATTAATTTTAAATAGTGCAGTGGCCTTCGGGTCATTACGGGGACTAGCATCACACAGCATAAATATGTAGTTCACTTCAAAGGCACACTTGTGGTTAAAAAAATTTAATATTAAATACAATATGCCCCAGGCTTGCAAAAAAAGCAAAGTGGAGAGAGGTCTTTGAAGGTTTAATCAAGTTGAATCATATGGAACTGAATTTCTGGGAATGTGTATTAGTTGTGGACCTTATGCTTGCTGGTACATGCCACCTGAATGTACAGTGCTTAGACATGCCAAACATTTATTAGTCGTTATAAATTGTAAAAGCAAGTTAGGTTAGGTTTTGAATCGAGGGCTTACCTTAGTGCTATGTTATGTTGTAATGTACTGGCTAAATTTCCCTTCTTCAGCTGAGACACCATACGCCTTCTGAGGCCAACTAACTTTCGGCTGTCTAGACGTACACGCAACACAATTATGCAGTCTAACCTTTTTATAACATACCTGGTTACAGTAGACGTTTGGATATAACATACCGATTTGTGAAGCTGGTTGGTTTTCCTCAGTGCACCATTGACTCAACTTCATATCTGCATACAACATACTCCTTTACAACAGACCGAAATCTTGGTCAAAATCAAGGTCTGTTATAACGAGCTTAGACTGTAAATGAATGTTATGCCAACTTGACTTGACACTTCAACATGCTTTCTTTTGAACCCCAAACAACTGCCGCACGAAACAGGTGAAAGCCTTCAAACCTGCATTGCATTCTCTGCAATGATTGCGAGTGCAATACTCGTTCGATTTCTGCCGTCACTTCACATTCTTTTGACTCTCGCATTGACAGCCTCGTTGAAGTTCGCGTTTGCTCCGCCCCTCGCAGAAACTGCTGCGGATGACGAAAGAGCGTCAGGCCAAGTACTGCAACCTGTGCGAGCAGACGGTGCTGCGCCTCAAGCTCATCTTTTCATCGACCCTGATGCAGCAGAACTTCCAGGGCAGCCTCGACTTCGACCACAACAAGCAGATGCTGCACATCAGGGTGAGTTGTCGGTCGGTCCCCTGCACGTGATGACGAACCTGGCATAGTTTGAAGATGTCCCTTATGTGAAGCAATGCAGAAGCTCAAAGACCTCAGGAACAGTGATGCACCTACTAAGGAGTGTTTGGCTCATAGTTACGCATCAATGGACAGCTCAGGCCTGCTAAAGTACAAGGCATGTAGTCGGGCTAGTTGGTAGTGCATACTTGCTTGGTGGAAACTGCGCTAAAAAACGTAGGACCAGGACGCGGAAACACACAGGCAGGGCGCGAACTTACGACTGCAAGTTTCTTGCTGTGCAAAAACAAATAAACACAAAAAGGAGAAAGAGAAGAGGACAAAAAAACCAAACTGATAACATCCGGCATCAGCCCCACCTACATATAGTCACACGGACCTGCCACAGTTTTCAGTAATATCTACCTCGTCTGGAGTGCTTGCACGTGAGTCCACTCCATGAGATGCCATAAAATATGCTTCGTCTATCTCTCTCGCAGTCTTGTTTCTGTGTCGAGACAAAATCTTAATGTTGTGGAATGACGATGAGCAGCCACACCTACTACAATGGTCAGCTAGGTTCCCCAAGGGCGAGAGGCACAGGACGGTATCGCTTTGCTTTTTTGTTCTCTTCCCTCCCCCTCTTTCTGTAGTCATTTCTATTTTTGCGCAGCAATAAACTTTCAGTTTTAAGTCGGTGCCCTGTCTGTCTGTTTCCTTATCCTGGTCCTACGTTTTGTAGCACTGTTCACACTGAACTGCTAAAGTAGTGCTTAAACTGGAAAAACATTTCACTCTGGGTCGACGATATTCGGGGAACTTCAGAGGTTACTGTGAGAGACCTCAGAATTCCTAGGAACCCACTTGGAGAACCCATGCTCTGCTCATGTGAAGGGGAGTTTTTGAGAAGCGGGCAAAGATCCTAATATCTTTACAAGAAATCATCAAAGTACAGTATAGACCACTTACAACGTAACCGTTTATAGTGCAGGGCCAGGTATAATTCGGCTTTTTTAAACCACCAATTCGCCCCCCATAGAACTCCATGTAATTACATACCGCTTAAAATGCAGGCGTGCGAAGGGAAATACCAATTATAGTGCGGTTTCTGGAACAGCCCGCCGACCGTGCCGACCAACCAGCGCAGCGAGCACGCTTCCCTGTGCGACTCTAGATAACGGCGCTGGCCGCAAGCACACTCGCGGGGCAAGGAAATTGCTCGAAGAAGCGGGGAGAAGCGAAGAAAGAGTCTTCAGTTGCCATAGCGACGGAGGGACGCACGCATGTGTCGTTCACATGCGTGCGTCCCTCCGCTGCGTTGGAGACAACCGCAACGACAGACCAATTGCAAGTCAAGGAGAAGTGTTCGCGCGCTTCGCATGCCTGTCGCGGGCTGGCTTCTTCTATCCGCAAACATGGCGTCGGTTGTGATTGTCGACGTAGACAATGTGGTGAAAGCTCATCGTTCCGCGTAAAAGCACTATTCTTGACTGTGAATTTTCGTTGTGTGTCGCTGTGATAACCCAGCACGTACTAGAAGGGAAGATCCACCTACTCATGCGGCGATGTCGTGGCGGCACTCTCAAGACAGCAGAAACGCCCGTGTCGTCGTGTTTGTTTACTTCGACTACAGTGGTGCTTTCTAAGCATTTGTGTTTTCGAACATTGCCCGGATTTCTTATTTGGAGCATTTCATGCCTGTGCTAAAGTTGAAGGTTTTACTGGCGCGTACCATATAAAGGAGAATTTTCACGCGTTTTCATCACAGGAGAAAAGTGATTAGGGTTAGCAATCCTGAACGCTCGTAGCGTCCGTCCGCAACCCGCGATGCCATTAAAAGGCTGCGCCAGGCAAAAGTCGCTCATTTCTTTCAAAATGTGTGACACACTTGAGAGAGAAGTGTACTAGTCTGGTGAAATAAAGACTTTCCTCAAACTAAGCTTTATTTTTCATCTAACATCAAATAAATTATTTTACAAAGGTAAGTTGTCTCATGGCATATATTTTGGCCTGAAAAATTTATGTTTTGGTTATAACGCGGTACCGCTTATAGTGCGGATTTTTGCGACTCCCGCGACATATGTTACATGCGGTCTACACTGTATTATTTTAATATTTTTTTACACAATTAGTTTGGGAAACTTAGAATTTCCACGGGAATTTCGAAATGTCAGGAAAGTAGAGAAATCGTGAGGGACGTAGTTGGCTAACACAGAAAAACTTACCAGAGAGAGTGGTGCGGCAGTGCGTAGCAAAACACGAGGACGCCGCATGCAGGGATGTGGGTGGCAGTGAGAACCTTCTTACCGTATTTATTTGAATATAAGGCAAAGTTTTTTTTTCCAAAATCCGTAGTCTCAGAGTCATACCCCGCCTTATATTCGATGCTCAGTATAGCAATATGACGATTTTTTTTCTTTTTCTTGGGTCCTTCAACTGCCCCCTCGCCTTATATTCGTAACCGCCTTATAGTTGAATAAATACAATATTTGAAGAAGCCTTTCGTTGCACTCAGTTCCACTTGCTCAAACCAGGCAACTCACCGAATAAATGGGAACAGCCTCTCTAACTCTATCCCCAGCAAACACGACATGCATTTTCCCATCCGTTGGCTACTGGTTCATCAGACCTGCTCTGGTTTCAAACCTTTAGGCCATTCATGTGGGCTTGTTTTCATGTTAAATGTGCAAGACTGATGATGTTACTATAAAAGAAATCCTCCTTTAACCTAAGCTGGACCCACTGACTTCCGCATTGTAAGTAGCCAGCGCGGTATTCCCTAGGGGAAGAAATCCTGGGAGGGGGAGTGCGTGACGTCAACGGCAAACGCAGTTCTCTCCTTGGCTTCATTGCTCGCACCGACGAGGCGCTGGGGAGGGAACATCAGCATTTGCAGTGCAATTTAGGAGTTTCCACTCTTCATGCCAGTGAATTTAGATGAATGCAGATGAATTTAGCAGTTTGTAGGCTCGACGTAACGTTGTTAAAAGTAAGCCTGGTCCGCTGCCAAATTGGGAACGTCTCTACCACCCAACCGTCAGATGCGTTGCACTCGGGGGAGAGGTCCACAGGATTCCTTCTTGCTGTGAATACCACTTTAGTAACGACTTCCGCCGAGCCGAACTGAGCTAGACAGAATGAAGGACGGTCATTCTTTGGTTGCCATCGATTCAACCTTTGTGGTGCAGATGCAGGTAACCCCGTTAAGGCTGGCTCACAAACCTGCGTCTGCTTGGGACTGTGCGCCTTAAACTCTCTTACGAGAGAACATAGTTTGCGCCATCTATCGAGTAGACGTGGAACTTTTTGCATTTCCATATATTGCCCTCTTTCTCGCACATGATTCCTTTCTTTCTTTCTTTTTGTTCAAAAAACATCTGACACGTTACAAACAACTATTTCTCGTACATTGTACATGCATTTGATCTCACAAATCCTGAAAAACCTGCGCTCTAGGGAAATGCAGTTCCAGGGTCGTCTCATAGGTGGCTGTAGCGTGCCACCGTTTTCACTTGTCGTGAACAATCGCAAGAACTCGGTCGCGAGGAAACGGGATTGCGGCCTTTGTGCGGCCGTTTCCGACCGAAGTGTTGAGGCTGAAGAAACGGCGACCATCTCGCAGGTGGAGCCCAAGGAGAACGCTGCCATTGCCTGCGGGGCCAACGGAGCAAGGCAGGACTTGAAGGCACTGTCCGGGGGCGAACGATCCTTCTCGACCGTCTGCTTTGTCCTGGCCCTGTGGGACACCATGGAGTGCCCGTTCCGCATCATGGACGAGTTCGACATCTTCATGGTACGTCGTCCGCCGCGTCATGGGAGGGTACGGCAGCGATGCCTACGACGTGGCTCAACCGAAACCGCGGTCGCTCTGCTCAGAAATCATACACAAGACACGGTGCTTGATGCAGACGTCATGACGAGATTATCTGCGCGCAGCCATTGCCGTACCTTGTATAAACGCAGTTCAGTTTTGTTCTCGTTGTCTTCTTCGTCGTCCGCCTGGTACTAGTGCTTTCAAATTTCTTAAGAACGTAACATCATAACAGAAAGTTTGTTTCGAGGCAGTGACAATTTCTTTTCTTTTTTTCACCCATCCATGACCGTTTTTAGGACATGGGCAAGCGGAGAGTAAGCCTGGAGATGATTCTGGAGATGACACGGCGGAAAAGCAACGGCCAGTTCATCTTCCTCACCCCCATCGAGATGCCGTCCATCGACGCACTCCGCTCCGTCAACATGATGATGATGCCAGAGCCGGCCAGGAGTCGTCCCTCCAACTAGCCGACTATATCTGGTTCGAGTCTGGGTGTCCACGAACACCGGATTCATTCCCAAACTCTAAAGGGGTTGACGGCCCCAAACTTGTTGAAAACGTTATCAACTCTTCAACCATTCTTTTAATTTCGAGATTTATTTTTAACTCCTTTTAACTAACTTCGAGGCAGTTTTAGCAATGCACATCTCGCACGGTGGCTTCCTGCTTCAGTCGAAGTCAATCAACGTGAACCTCGAACTTGGAGTGTCATCGTCTTCTAACTCTTTGAATTTCATGTGGAACGCGACGGTTCGGGTGGTCATGTAGTTTGTCTGCTCTAGTCCAGCAAACATCCAGTGGTTAGGAGTCTAGTGTGCTGTTGTATTTTCTTTTAACTTTTATCAATGGCACGTCTTTCGTATCCAGAGTATATTTGTGTGACACATTGCAGCAAAGACAGTTGCAAGGTGAGTGCTTCTCTAACTTAATGTCTGCCTTTTTTTTTATTAATCTGGAACTATCAAAAGTTTTCAGGAACTATCATGCTACAATAGCAGTAACCATGCTACCTCTTATTCCTCGGTTATGCTACGCCAAGTCGTCCGTGTAGCATCTTTGTTTCTCACATGTCTAGAGTATCATCATTTGTCAAGCCAGCTTTTGTTTCAAATTCATCTTCATGTTTATTCGTGACTTAACAAGTTCAGCAGCCGATTTCAAGTTTGTTTCTGTTGTAGTGGTTGCAACCGTGTATAGATATATGATAAAAGTTTTATAATGCCTAGGCTGGTTGCTCTGTCATTTCATGAGGGTGTTGTGGAGTTGATTGAAAAAAAAAAAACTTTCAGCCTTTCCACTCTCGTGAAGAAGGAAGACCAGCGGAGCTGTACTCGATACACTGCCGCAACGCGCATGCGCCCGATTCCCGCTTCTCGTCCGACACGCCGGCGATCATGGATATGTCTCCGGCGAACCAGAGTCGGTCGGACACGGCGCACGTCACGCCAAGCGGGTTCTCCACGAACTCCCTCCGGAACCTCGCCGTCGGACCCGGGAACTGTTCAGCCAGCGTGAAGTGCAGTCGCCGCCGGGCCTCGCGCTTGCGCTTGGCCTCCGTGGCACGATCGTCGTCCGTGGCGTTGGCCCGCCGGCGCGCTTTACATCGCTGGTACTGTTCTCGGCGGCGGCTTTCCAGGCGAGCGATGTGCTCTTCTTTGGCAAGGGAATCTGAAGCGCTGGACGCAGTGGAAGTCGAGGCGACAGCGGCTTTGCGGCGGTTGCGAACCCATTAGCGCTGCTGCGTATGTCACCGCTCCTTCCGCAGCCTGTCTGCTTTCCTCTAAAGGGCGCGGCCGACCCATCGTGAGCCTAAACCGAAACTAATAGGAGCGTAGGAAACGGCGCGCAAAACAGACTAGGACGAAGAAACAAACATGACGAACGCTGCGCTCGTTACGTGTGCTTCTTCGCCATCGTCTGTTTTTCAAGCTGTTTCCTACAATGAATTCCCACCGACGCGCCCAACTATCAATCCTTTTATGACAGCTGGAAAGGTTGCCGCCATCTACGAGCGACGGCGGCAACCAGACTGGTTGTGTGCTTGCCCCCGTCGCTTATAGATGGCGGTAGCTGTCCAGGTAGGTTTGTGTCGACATACCAGACACGATCCTGGGGAACCTAGCCCTTAACAGCTCCGTTGTAATATTCTTTTTGAATACTGTAAACAAATTAATTTTCACGGGCTCAAATTTTCGCGAATCGGGCCAAAGCTGAAAATGTTAAATTATTCGCGGGTTCTAATTTTCGCCAATCGAGTGTAGCTTCCGTAGTTTTCATATATTGCCCGAATTGTTCGCGGGACGCATTTTTCGCGAATTGTAGGCAATTCGCGAAAATTAAGTCGTTTACAGTATGTGAAATGCTAAAGAACACATGCAAAGGCAGTGATGTGATTGCTGCGCCAACCTGCGCCTTGGGGCTAACCCTGCTACATCCTGCTACATTTTGCCAAAATATGGGAAATCTGCGGCCAAACCTGCGTCAAAAAACCAATTTCGGTAGCCTTTCAAAACCGAAACTAAATTGAGTACTGTAATTGAGCATGCGTGGGCTATGTGGCGCAAGCGGCCGCCCGACAGTATCCTGCATCAATTGTTCATCCGGTCTTGCATGGTTTTTCCGCCGTTTATCGTTTCGCGCTCTCGTTGTTTCGCGTCTTTTTAAAAAAATTTCAACAATAGGCGCAGGCGTGTGCGGACGCTCCGACGCTGGCGTGCTGGGTACCAGCCATGTCGGCATGCTGTGAAACGAAACTCCGTTTTTGCGCGGCGTGAGTTTGTGAGCTGAAGCACTCGCCCCTGAAAGCAACGGCCGTGGGAAAGTTATATTTGGTCTTTGGCTGCCAGCAACGAGGTAGGCTGCCAGTCACCGCGACATCGGGTGTTGCCGTCCCCACGTCGCTGCAGATATGGCGCTTCCTAAACTAAAACTTAAGGACCGCCACATGTTCACCAGCATTCCTGTTCTTGTTTAATACGCTACTACAAAAATGCATCTAGCTCAAAGACTGCAGTGTCGAAGTATTGATTACCTAGGTTTCTCTCTTTCGAGAGGGGCCCCGGTACGTGAAAAATCTCCCGCGAAAGAAAGTTGAACAGAAGTGAGCTAAAGCAAAGAAGGCAATATGTCTGCACGCTGAACCCGCACAGCGCGCTTGTTTGTCTCGAGTTCAGACGTTGCACAAAGCACTCCAAGAACTTTGTGACCCTGGCTCGCAATGTCTTGCATCGATGTGCTGATTTTTTTTTTTTTTTCTTTGCCGGCCTGGCAAGCATTTGCCGCTGGACTGTTTCTTGTTGTATGCTGGACAGTTACATTTTGCATACAATTTTGGAAACCAGTTGGCGATGGAGCGGAGTGGCATGGTTTAGATCGAACAGTCATCACCGCTCGCGCGACAATTTCGCACTGCACTGCAGTAGTTACGTGTTTCGTCAGTTGGAGACTGCTTCCATCTATTATAGAACTGGTCAACCTAATGCTGTCCTATTTACTACTAAAATCGTCCTTTTCAAATAAATCTTAATATGTGCAGTTTGGTTCTTATTTACCTATAGCGGGTACATATATATAATATGTATCATTTAACTGAATAATTGTAAAATGTGTCATGTCATAGGCGTTTAAGTTACATGCTGAAAGAAAGTGTCTGTCGTTTGTCCAGCACTTTAAATGAATATGTTTATTTTTCTAAGAATATCTGCTCCGAAAGCCACTTTTTCTGCTCCGAAACACTGTTTTAGCTGCTCCAAAAGGTTCTCCAAAACGGTTTCGACCAATCACATCACTGCAAAGGTAAAAATAAAAAAAAAAAAAATTATAAAAAAACTTGTTTTAAACAGGCTGGATGGAAAAATAATATAAAACGAATTTACAACGAAGAAAAATATTTAGAACTATATGGCGCAAAACGAATTTGTAGTTGGTGCCCGCGGGAGCCATTGCTGGTCACGTGGTGTAACTGTACGCCGCAGCACGCTGAACGTTGTGCGACGCCGCTTCAATCCGTTTCTCCACGCCGTTGCCGCCGCACAAGTTCGTCTGCTTAGGGGCGAAGCTCCTTGGGGTATAGCCTTGTCCATCCGTCCGGCGTCCATGCTCACATCGATTGCCATCCCATCTGTCTGTCATGGATGTAGCGTTGCATGTAGCCACAGTGCATGTAGCCGCTCAACGTCTATACAGGAGAGGGCGCTGCGTTAAAATGCGTATATAATTGCCATTTCTGACGAATTTTACTTACCTGAAGTTAAAGCGGGAATTACACTTCAGCCTCTGTCGCACTTACTATCAAGTTCACAACTGCTTTTTACTTCTATACCGGAACTGACCAGTCCCCTAGCTGTCCAAGCTGACTAGTCCCCTAGCGGTCCAAACCAATCCGCAAAACCGGAGGAAATGGGCCCCGGAGAAATCCGGCAGGAGAGGTTTGATGTCAACGGCCACGCGAATGTGACGTTTTGGGGGTCCAACGTTGAAAATATTCATCATCTTCCGGCCCCAGGGAGAGCGCACAAAGCGCGAAAGAGGCCCTCGGCCAAGGGTCCACCCTCCCCTCGCCTTTCTCGCAAACCTCGATTGGGGCGGGAGGTTGAGGGAGGGGAGGGGGTTCGCTAATTGCTTGGGAGCCCAACAATAGGACAAAGGGAGACTTAAGAAGCAATATCTTTTGTTGTATTCTCCCCCTCGAAGCCACTCAAAAATCTCATAAAGGGTACTTTTTCTCCCTCTCCTGCGCCTGTCATGTGCATTTTTTTCTTTCTCAACCTTTGTGTCTCCTGCGTCCCTGTGCTGTCCCTTCCAACTTGTCGTCCCTACACTCTTGCACGCTTCTGGGCTGAAATGGCAGGCGAAAGTTGTGAAAAAAACAGCTTCTGCCTTTCTCATTCTCTCAGGCCCGTTTTGCGGCCAGGATGATTCAGTTCGTCGCCTCTTCTACCCTCTTCTTTCGTTCACTTTTTTCTGCACTCTTCTTTTTTTCACTTTGTTAAAGGGGTACTCCACCGTTTTTTTCATTGTCTCCGATTTGCTTGAAATTTTGCTAAACTAACCAACAAACATTGCTAAAATAGCATCCCAAATATTAGGTCGAAATATTGTTTTTTCGCGAAGTTATTGAATTTACAGTTTTGGTATTCACCATGTTTTTCAAACTGAAAGTCTCTGCTGGCAACAACAACAAAGTGACGTCAGTGGAAGGCAGGGGTTAACTTTTTGGACTACAGAAGTTGTTCCCAACGGATTTGAAGCAGTTTCTTGGTGTCAAATGAGTGCTTTGGAAGCTCGCTCCCGTATCCGCGCTCCAGCACGGAACAAATGATTGGCATATTCTATTTTTAGGCTACTTGCTCGACTGGCAAGCCTGCCTGTCACTGACGTCACGGCACTAAAAAGTGCGCGAATATTTGAATATTGGATTTTGCACCATTTTCATTTGCCGATTTCACAATGCCTATTATGAATTTCGCGATGCTAAATAGCATACCGGAAAGGCTAAAGGCCGGGGAGTCAGAAAATATAGTTAGTTGAGGTAGCTCAAAAAATCGGTGGAGTACCCTTAAGCAAGGGCCAACCTTGGGGTAGAAACAGGTCCTGTCCCTGCAGCCACACTTGGGTACCGTGCCACAGACAACACTGATATTGTCCTATTGTCAACAAGGTCCTTTTATTGGGATTGCATTTTTTTTAGATATGTCACCCAGTTTTCGCGAAACAGAATCTGGCCTTGAATGTGCCGTGCGTATGCGGAGCGGCAGTATGCACACATTCACATTTACGCCCGAGCTACAGTGCAGTCATCGGTTTGGATTGATCTAGTTGGTACTTGGTCTATGATGGTGGTGAAGCAGCTTAAACTTTAAACAGTGAGACAGGACAAGACACGCACACGAAGCTGCAATGATGGCAGGGAAACAGCTGAACATTAAACAATCACAAAGAGACGAAGTAATCACTCAATTTTTAAGTACCGCTCTACAGTCGCATTGGCGTCAATGCCATAAATAAAATAAAGTGTTTCCTTAAAATATACGTCGTGTTCACAGTGAGCTGCGTCGCGAGTCTCGTGACGAATGAAATCGCAATTCATTGACAACCAGCAATAGTGGTTTCTGCAGCCATTTTTAGCTGCAACACGGTACCTAGTCCTGCGTTGGACTCCGCGGTGGGCGGTGCACCCGGGCATCGAATCTTCCATTTATTATGGGTCCAAAACTAAAGAAAACT